TCAAATAGATCCATTCAACAATTAATACCAAAGTTAGATCATTTCTCAAGTATCGTTTAATTTTGCATATTTGACCTAATATTCAAATTCATCTTATTCAAAATTTAAATCAGCATTATGTTTTAGCTTTGAGAAAATTTTCAATTATCTTTTTTTTTTTCATATTATCTGATGACAATGTGTTTAATTCTTGTAGGTATTTTTACATTTGATATTATTAATTAAAATTATTTATTGTTGAATTAAATAGTTTGAAATAACAATTTTTGCAGTTTTTTTTTGTAAGATATTGCATTAATGAATATATCATTTAATTATTTGCTTATTAATATTAATATTGGAATATTAATTAACATTTATTCATTTAATGTATACAAAGTTACCAATTTTAATGAAAACATATAGCACTTGTATATCATATAGTAAAAAAAAGATAATTAATTAAGAATTTTAAATTCATAGCCTTTTTTAATAGTAAAAAAAAAAAAAAAAAAAAAAAAAACATTGCCAAACAGTTTGCATTTTTAACTTTCATTTAAATTAAATTGCATTGTTAAAACTCGAATTAGAGGTTACAAACTAGTAATAACATTTCTTTTAACAATTTTTTGATTTGTCAAAAAAAGATTTTTGTTTTATCTTTTTAGGAAAATGATTTTCTTTTTTATCTTTTTAAGTCTAATTATAAATTTTCTTAATCTCAAAATGTTATGATGAATATTTACAAAAAAAAAAAGAAAAAATTGAAATAAGTTGAAAATATCGATCAATTTTGAAATTGTACATTACTGAAATGCTATGATCAATGTTTTTTATCATAAAAATTTTCAATAAAAAGCAATAAATAGAAAAATAAGTATTTTTTTTAAATCTTGTAAAATATTTTTTTTTTTTTTTCAAGTAGTTAATGGCAAATTATTTATTGCTGTTAGTTTTAATTGATGAATAGCTTATTTGTTTGTACAATAAAACTAGTATTGCTTATCCTTTTAATTCATTTGTTTGATAAAAAGAATGATGAAAATTCGTAGTTTAAATTAAATGAATTTAAAAAAAAGTACAAACAAATAAAAAAAAAATAGGAATTAAAAATAACAAAAAAAAAAAAAAAATTAAATAAATAACAAAGAAAAATATTTTTGTGTATGATTGCATCTATTTAATTGCCTTTGGCATTAATTAAAAATAATCATTTTGCTACAATGTTTTATCATTCCAGCAAAATCATCTTTATTACATCATTTTTATTTAATTTTATCAATTCACTTTCTCATTTCGTTAAATTTCGATCATATTTTAATCAATAACTTTTATCGAATAATTTTTATAAATATACTTTCATCTAATCATCATCATTATATCAATATAGTTGGATAATCATTTTAACTATCACATATTATTATTTTATCATCAATTTGTGATAAGGATAACTTTTTGAATATAACTTAAGTATTTTTTTCGCGCTAACATAGAAATACTAAAAGATCAGTATTAAATGTGAATTTATAAAAAAAAAGGAAGAAAAATTGATCATTTGATCATTTTTTTTTTCTTTTTTTATTTCTTGAATTTCTCATAAATTTGCTTGTTTTCATTCTGATTGAATATGAACAAATTTGGGTCAAATAAATTATAATTCTTGGCTTTTTATTATTGGGGTCGTTACGAAAGACGGAAATTGCTTGAAGTGGAAATTATGATTAGATAACAATAGCTCAAAATTATAGATTACAAATTTATGGGCTTGAATTGTTTCTTACAAAAAATATTCAGATCAAAAAATATGATGATCTTATATATATATCATTAGATATCATTTTTGATAATATTCTAGTCATATTTGATAATACCCAAGTATTTTTTTAATGATTTCTAATCGTTGTTGATAAAATTTTAGTCATTTTTGATAAGATTCTAGTACTTTTTGATAATATTCCAGTCGTTTTTGATAAAATCTTGATCATTTTTCATAAGAATCTAGTATTTTTTGATAATTTTTGATAAAATTTTGATCATTTATGATAAGACTCTAGTATTTTTGATGATATTCTAATCGTTGCTGATAAAATTTTAATCGTTTTTGATAATATTTCAGTCATTTCTTGATAAAATCCCAGTATTTTTTGCTGATAAATAAAACATGGATAAAATAATAAATTCTGATCGTTTTTAATAATATTTTAATCGCTTCTGATCATATTCTGATCGTTAAAATTTTAATTATTTTTGATAATATCCTACCTTCTACTACAAAAATTGAATAGCATTTATAGTTATTATAGCTTTTCTAATTTTTAATATGTTATAGCTTTCTAATTTAATGTTAGCTATACAAATTTCTGTTATAAGAATCATTCTTAGTATAATTGTAATTGTTCTAAAATAATAATCACGCTTATTCTTAATTTGCTAACATTGCTAATCATGATAAATATTGCTATTCGTAATATTATTATCGTGATAATCATTACTATTCACAATATTCTTACTCGGTAACCAGTATTAATTATACTACTGTCATAACAATATTATCGTGATAATCATTGCTCGTAATATCAATATTGTGATAATCATTATTATTCAAAATATTATTACTTGTCAGTCATCATTAATCATAATAATAGTATCGTGATAATCATTGCTCGTAATATCAATATTGTGATAATCATTATTATTTGTAATATTGTAATTACAATGATTGTAATTTCAATACTTTAACTTTTATAACGCTATCAGTTATTTTATCTAAAGAAGCTTCTATATAATTCTTATGAACAATTAATCCTTTTAATACTTTTGATCATACGTCTGTTTCACTGTGAGATTTTATAAAATTTTTTAATCTTTTGAAACTGAAAGTAATGGAAGAATAAAATTTTACAAAGTTATGTTAATTATTATTATTACAGTTGTGATAATTATAATTTTTAAAATTTCACAGATAAGAATTTTTATAGTATCATTGGCAATAAAAACAAAAAGTTAATGAATGAACGAATTACTCTTTTATTATATTAATTTAATGCTAATATTCATGCTTATTATGGAAGAGAAATTCAATTTCATTTTACAAAATAATTTTAACAGCAACATAAATTTAAGAAAACAATTTTCTATTATAATCATAAAAATTTTAAATTCATTGCCATTTTCCTAATTTGTCAAATATTAGTCAATTTATTTGCTTATTTTGGAAAAAAAATATAAAATTTCAAGTGTCAATTAGTGCAAAATTTCAGATCAATAAGCGTAAAATTTTATGATTAATTTTACTAAATTTTGATATCATTCTCTTGTAAAAATATTTGCTACTTTAATGCATCTCTAATCCTATACTTTTCAAATTTTTGATAATTTTAAAATTTATAAATACAAAGCTATAAAACGACTAAATGACAAAGATAACGAATAGTATGTACAATTAATGTTATCATATCTTTCAAATTGGAAAACATTTATTTCTTATGCTTACACTTTTAAAACTATAGAAAATTATTTTTTTTTTTTAAATTTAAAATTTGATAGGAGGAAAAAATGTTTAGAGCATTAATATGACAATTTATTTTAAAGTAACAATGATAATTATCAGTGAGTTTCACAATTAATATAATAAAATGACAGCTCCATCGCATAAAAAAATTTTGTTCATTTCTTATCGAAGATTTTGTCATTTCACGAAAGAAAAATTTTTGTAAAATTTCTGAAACAATTTTTATGAATTAGTAAATTAGTGATTAAGTGATAAAATGTTTATCACTTGAATAGCATAATCCATTTATTATTCTTTGCTTTCAAAAAGTTAATTTGCAATAGTTATTTTGTTTTTCTTTTATATAATTTAGTTCAAATTCTATGCTACAATGCTTCTTTTATTTTACTTTAATTTTCGAACACATTTTTGAATAACTTTTCTCCTAATTTGATTTTGCTTTTAGCTTCAATTTAAGTAAGATTCATTAGTGTTATGTGTATATTTGAAGAGTTGACAGTTTTGAAAAGTAATGGTACCCGTATACAGGTATGGTACCTACATGCAGGTACCATACTTGTATCTGTTATATTATCATAAATTTTTGCAGTGCAATGCAGAATCGATTGAATTTTTTAAAAAAAAAGAAAATTTAAAGCAATTTAAAACTATGCAATTGGATTTTTTTGTTTCTTTTTTTTCCAAAATATTTTTTCATATAATGACAAATAATTCAATTAAAATTTCCGCAGTTTTTTATTTTTTTCTCATTAAAAATTTGATTAAAGAAATTAATTTTATTTTGAAGTTCAAATATTCGCAAAATTTTGCTTTTTTCAAACTTAAATTTATTATAAAATTTCCTAATGTCCTTTTAATGTCCTTTTTTCTCCTTTTTTTTTAACACTTTGATGGAAATGACCAAACTGGATTCTACTTGGAATAACAGATAATCAGAAGAATTTAATTCTTTAAAAATTTTCAAAATAATTACAGATTGAGGCAATATTATGTCATCTTCTTGTACTATTCACATCTTTTCATTATGCCAATATCGTAACATATTTTATCATTTTAGTTTGCATCTTTTTTAAGGAAATTTAGTGAAATATTTTAAACAATCAATTCTGAAGTCATTATGATAACCTTTACTATTAGCTTGCATGCAATGCTGAATGGATTTGACCTTATTGTATTTGACCCGAAATGTAATGTGTCAAACATTGAGATAATTAATTCTATCGATGCTATAAAGAAGTTAAAAAAAAAAATAAATAATAATTGAATAGTATTAAATTGAATCATTCTCTCAAATCTGTATATACATTTCATTCTCTCTCATTCATCTCCGTCTTAATCATTCGGTCATTCGGTCACTCATCATTCAATTTTTAAATCTATTTCTGTCGTTCTCATTTTAATCGGGAAGCCTTTATATTGTCAGCAATTTGTACTTCTTGCGTGGTTCTTCAAAGCACTATTTTTTATGAATTTTTCAAAATTTTCTGTTTGCAGTAAAATTTGAATTGAAATGATGTTGCTATTAGCCATATTTCTGTCAACATATTTGCCTGTGACAAATGGTGCCACAAGTCAACAAGCCAAATGTCTAATTGACTGCTATGCAAAGTGCCTAAATATTGGTTTGGTTAGTTTATTTATCATTTCATTCCTCATTCCGCTTTCTAATAATAATGAACAGAGTGACAAATTTAAAAGCAAAAGAGGAAAAACAAACAAATAAAAAATGGATGGTTGTATTTGTTAATTAAGCTAGTTAAGCAATTTTGATAACTGATGTAAAAGTTAAATTTTGTAAAAGTAATTAGTATCATTGCTATATCAACTTAGTTGGAATTCTTTTCTTTTTTGCTTTAGTTCAAAAGTTGTATTAAAAGAAAAAAGAAAAAATTGGTTTTTTTTTTTGTATGTCAAAATGGTCAAAATGATTTTTTTTTTTACTGCTAAATTGTGTAATTACATCGAAAATGTTTGAAAAATGCAAACAATTAATAAATAATCTCTAACAATTACAATTGATAAATGCGCTCATACCGCAACAATGATGAAAATAACAGTTGTAAAATAATTTTGATCTTTTTCAGAACCTGTTGATAATTATATAATCGAATAATCTGAGCTTTTACTTAAAGTAAGAATATTAAACAAGGAATAAAACTGAAAAAGGGAAAAACAAAACAATGTTTATTAAATTTCATTTTTTTTTTATGAGGAAAAAAAAGATTTTTTTTATGAATAGCAAGAAAAGTGCATACTGTATTTTGCATAATATTTCAGGCGTACTGTATGCGTATACTGTATCCACACGTTGTACTGTATTTTAAAATAAGCTTGTTTGATTATCACTAAAGATATTAATTTCTTCTCCTCTTTTGTGATTTAGTATTCCAATCAAAGTTACAAATATTTCTATGTTATATAATCTTTCAACCTTCATTGAGCATATGTTATACTTTTTTCCTAGCAATAAATAGCCCTATAATTCTTTCATCTTATTGTTGAAATATAGGTTAAATGAGTTTAACAAAGTTTAATCAACAACGTCCTTTTCCTAAATTATTGCCGATTTGTCCTTGACCAAATTTCTCGTTTCATATTGGAATAAAAAAAAAATATATATATTTTCGAACGAAATATTTTGTTTTTTAAACTTATTTTTCATTTTTTCTTTATTCTTTTCAATTCATTTTTAGAATTTCTATTTCTTTTTTTTTTTTTTTTTGAAATTATTTAATTTTCCAATTCATCAATATTCATTTCATTAGTCTTTTTATTAGATAGAATATGCTTTTCATTCATGCATATCAATCAGACTGGTTTCGATTGAAAAAAAAAGTCAGTAATGTTCCTCATATTTAAATTTCAATTATTTATTTTAAAATTGCTGAGACTGTTCTAGTTGATGATAAGAAAAAATAAAAAATATTAAAATCAATAATATGTTTCATGCTTAAATTATAAGTAACTGATTAATAAAGACGAAATATTTTATGATATGAATAATTTGATATATTTTAATGATAATAATAAGTTTAACAGAAAATAATATTTTCAAAAATTTTAAATTATCTCAATATCTTTACACGAAAACTGTTTTATTGTTGACTTCCTCAACTTGTAACTATTTTGAATAAAAGGTAAACATTCATTGATTTAAAAATTTAATAAAATCTTCTGAATAAGGAAAATATGCATTTTGCATTTGCATTTTAATTGTATGTAACAATTGTAACAATTCAATACACAATTTAAGAGTTGCTGAATTTGATTTTATGTTTGATCATCCAAATACAAAAGTTTACAAAATGTTACTTTAATTGTAGCTAAATGCAACACAATGCAACTGCAATACTGCAAGCAACCGAAAATTATGCTCGACAAATTTTGATGAAAGTATCATTCAAAGTAAGCAAACAGTAGATTATCAATTTAATAAAATTAAAATTGATTGAATTAAACAATTTGCATTTAGTTGGCACATATTAATTCGAAGATTTTTTCTTTAAACTTTGCAAAAAAAAAAAAAAAAAAAAAAAGAAGAAAATGGAATAGTAAAATAGTAAGAAATATTGATACATTTGAGTGCTATTTTTTTAACTTCCACAATTTTTTTTTTTTCATAATTTATCTGAAATGATCAACAAAGTTAAGTGGTTTGTAAAATAATAACATTGAATTTTATTAAATTTTAAAATGTTAAATTAAATTCTAGAATTTTATTAAATTTTGAAATTTTAAAATCGATCATTTTTCTCGTTTGTGCTCTTCTTCTAAATTACAAATTTGAAAATAACTTGATTAATGAATTCATTATAAAAATTAATTACAGATAGTATGACAAATGATGTAGTTCCGGTAAAGACGGAATATTTGAATTCACGAAAAATTCGAATTGAAATGAATGATAATCGTATCAATGCATTTGTGTACATTTTTGAATATTCAACTGTTAGTACTGCACCCGATAATTGGATTTTTGCTGTTAGTTTAAATTTGAAATTATTTTACTTCAAAGACTAAAAAATGAGATAAAATTTGAAATTAAATGAACTTATATACAAAGTAATATTTTGATTCATTTTGCAAAAATCAATTTATAATAATTTCGTATTTTGCTACAATTTCATATTCAATTAATTTTCCTAATCGTTTTAGTATTTAATTCTTTCTATTTATATTGATTGCAAATCAATATAAATGTGCATATTAAACTATTTCAATCTTATAAATATATCAAACATAAATTTTGTTTAGCTCAAAAAGCTTACCACTTACTTTCTTTGTAAATCATATAAAAGTAATATAATACATTAATTAATTTGTCATATCTATCATTAAGTTTATTGTAGTAAAAGAGAGTTGATAATTTTTATCTTTCATTTTAATGCCTCAGAGTATGCTTATTAAATAATAAATCTATTGCAGTTTAATTTTCCTAAAATTTTTCTTGCAAACTAATTTACCTTACTTTTTATTCATCCATTTTATCAGATTTCAATTTAAATACTTACTTAGTCCTTCTTACAACTTATTTATTTTGCATTTAATTAGCATATGGCTATTTTATCTAATTAAAATATAATTTTTGCATAATTAAGACAGTAATTTCCAGGGTGTTAACTCATCACCAGGTATGACTTTTACAATTAATGATGCTTGTCGAGATTATCAATTCCGAGTAATTGTGATTTTAAAAAATGAGGACACTGACCGTTGGTTGGTTGTTTACCGACCTCGAATAATACCCGTTGATTTACCTACATTTGCTATAACACCTGATAAGGTTTTTTTTTTTTTTTTTTTTGCTTAAAATTTCTTGTTGATAGAAGCAAATTACTAAAGTAAGAATTACTCAATTTTTTCAAAATATATAGTTAAAGCATTTTTTTTTAATGCTTTAGGGAATGGTTGATAATTCTAGTGGATATGATAATTTGTATTAGCTGAAATAATTACTTAAAATTAGCAATTTCACACTTTCGAAAAAAATAGTCGAAATTATGCAAAATTACATTTTTTATAAATTTACAAAAACACACATAAACATACTTAATTTACTTTTAATAGAATTTTTAAGTACAAATAATTTGCTCTTAATAGAAATCTAAAATACAAAGATTCGTTGAATTATTACAGATTCAGACTGCACCACCGGTTTATAATGCAGATGATGGTACAGTGGTTGTTTACATCTCATGGGAGAATCCAACCGGTTACACGGATGAAGATATATATGGCTATGAAGGTCCGGCAATTTATCCGGTTCAATGCAATTCACCAGAAGCAGAATTGCCATCACCATCTGTAGTTCGTTTTATTTCATATTTTGAATGAAAGCAGTAATCTATTTTATGATTGTATAAATTAGAAATTAATTAAAAAAGAATAAAAATGCAAAAAAAAAAAAAAAAGATTAATAAATTAAAATTTGATTATTAAATTGAATAAATCTGAAAGATGAGACATATGCAAATATTTAGGAATTAAAAAAAGGTGGTGGTCGTTTACGAATATCATTACCATCTGAAGTATTAGATAGTAAATGTAGAGTTTGGGCAGAGGTACAAATGCTACCGCGGTGCATTCGATTGGAACCGTTTAGCATTCAACAATCATTTGAGCTTAATTGTGACAAGTTGACAAATCTTGAAGTGTGTAAACATGGTAATTTATTTATTTATTTATTTACAATATCTTCAATTTTCTTCAATTCTTGGCTATTTTACCATATTTTTGTTTTTGTCTAAATCATTTATTTAACACAAATAAAATTTATAAAAAAAAAAATTTCATTATTTATAGAAATTGCACCACAATGCACCGATGTTATTGACATTTGGGGTTACGGAAGTAATGCAACAATTATGTGGTCACCACTGGATAATTTTGGTACACCACTTTATTATCACATTCGTTATGGTCCTGCAAAAATGCAGGTAAATTGCTTATGCAAGTCTTAAAAAAAATTTTTTTGAGCTTCAAATCTTAGGAATTTCCGAAATTTATTCATTCAATAATCCTAGAATATAAACAGTTTTAATTTTTGAATATAAAATCTAAAAAAACAGGAATTTAAATATGGATAAAACATTTAAATATAAATAATTAAATTTTAATAATATATGTATAAGTCAAATTATAAATGCTAAATATTTGTAATTAATTATATTTTTTATACTGCCTTTTTTTCCTATATCTATCTGAAATTATTTAGTATTAATTAAATATTTCTGATTGTTTACACTCTTATGATAAACGAATGACATGCCTCATTGATCTAATTAATAGTTTAGATAATATTTTAGTGTAGTTGAAATGATTGAAATTAAATTTAATTTAAATTTTATTAAATTTAACAGAAAGGAAATTAAATGGTCAAATAAAATGTAGTAAGAAAATTCAGAAATTTAAAAAGCAAATTTTTAAAAACAAATTTAATCTTTTCTTTTTTTTTTTTTCAGGGTGTACCACCACTTGCATCATGGACGATTGCATCATTGCATGAGATGAAAACAATTGGTAATAGTACAAATTTACAACTTCATATCGTTCCGGATATCGATTACGGAATACAAGTTTGTGCAGTTTACAATGAACATCGGAAACAACCAAAATTTGAATTACTACGCGTCATACCTTTTATTTGTACCTCTTGCAAAATAACTCGTTGGTTTTTTCTTTTTCTTTTTTTTTTTTTTAAATTTAAAATTTTATTGATTTATCAACTATTTCTATCATCATATAAATATCTGATAACAATATCTGATCATTAAAATAATGCCTATTTATAATTAACTAATACTTAAGAAAGTTTTTCAAAATTTTATCTCTTTGATGTTATCATTATTATCATTGTTAGAAATTTTTTAGCTTTTTCAATTTGTTCAAATGCATTCTTTATTATAATGATATGATGCATTTTATGATTCTTAACTACTCGTTTTTAAATTAAATTTTATGATTCCTAATTTTTTTTGTAAACTATTTTATGATTCTTAATTTTTTCAATTTCTTATTACCTATTATAAAAAGCTTTCATTTGCAAAATTTTTATGATTCTGACACTTCCTTTCAACTCTTCATAATCTTTGATTTATATTTTTCGCCCATTTTTTTTTTTTTTTTTCAATTCCAATATTTTCATTTCTTTGAAAAAAAAAAAAAAAATTCATTCATTCAATTTCTTTATTTCAATCATTTCTCATAACTTTTTATTCTTTTTCAATGCTAATTTTAGCAGCGGAATCATTTGGACGTTGCGGTGAATGCACTAAAATTGAAGGACCTTTACTGCTTGGGCGTCGTTGTCATCCAAAAGGCGGAACCGGTTGCACCTTAGCTGGGACCATTTCCAATATTTCCGATATCAAAGGTTGAAGAAGTTTAAAAGAAATTAACAATGACTTTGTCACAAATTTACATTCATTCAACAGTGCTGATAATTTTGTTGATAGAAAGAAAATGTATATGTAATCCTTAAATGAAATTTCAAACTTTTCAAGACCACGGAACACAAGGTCATTAGTTAATCTTGCATATAATAACATTAAAAATAATCAATAATCAAATAATAATAAAATAATATTGAAAAGAAATAATAAAATCAACAAAATAATAAATTTCAGTTTTTTAAAATTTTTTTAAAAAAATACAAAACTTTAGAACAAAATTGCTAAGATTAAAAATGTTTCAATAACATGTGAAACGGTTTTCATTTAACTAAAACTTAAATTTTTTTATTTGTAAATTTCAGACGATGACATATCACGAAATCCATTAACAGTATTACCATCAGATGTTTTCATTGATTCCCCATCTGATAGCACAAAAAGCAAAATGAACAATAGACAATCCATTTCGGTTTAGTTTTCAAATCTATTTCTATTTTTAAGCATTCAATATCTAACATTGAATTCAAAATTTTTTAAAATTTAACTTTCAGCTTATTCATGAAAATTCGAACACTTTAATTCCACAATTACCAACAAAATCTACGACTAAATTACAAACATCATTGTGAGTTTTAATTTAAATACTTTCTTCTTGATCATCTCGATTTACACTCTCTAAAATTCTTTGTATGCATCTTGTTGCATTTTATTTTCAGTTTTTGATTCAAAAATGAAATTTAATCTTTTAATAATCAAAAATACAGGACAGAATCTGAAGCACAGATCATAGAACAGTCAGCAGATGAATTTTCCATCAATGAAAATGAAGCAAAAGAAACGACAACTTTGCATAATAGTCAAAGCGCTTCTGTCATATCAAATTTAAGAAGCGCAATCGAGTAAGTATGCTTTCTTTACTTTATGTTTCTTTATAATAACTAATAAAGTATGTAATTTACTAGTGAAAGTTAATTGGAACAGCTTTTTAAGCATCAAACAAACTTTCTAGCATTTTAGAGTGTCAACATTGTCAACATTATCCACACTGTCAACATTTGCTCAACAATCTCAAACTGCAACTGCGCCAAATAAGGAAAAATTGCAATCTAATCTAACTTCATGCACTCTTTTTAATGGTGTCATTTGTGAATTTGGTTGCATCGATCAAACTAAGTAAGCAGTCATAGAAATTTGAAGTTTGATCAATGGTTATCACCTGAATTATCAAATAATCATTTCTAAAGTTTTATTTAAATAACCAAAATATTTAATATTTAAAATTAATTAATCCATTCCTGTATCTAGCAATACTTATGACTGTATGATATTTCATTTGATATTTTCATAACTTTGGAATATATTGAATATGACAAAATGCGACAAATTTTAATTATATGTGAGAATTATTTTTTAGAAGAAATTTTGAATTGAAATAATTTTTGTTATGTATTTTTGCGCAATTAAATTTTTTTAACATTTAAAATGGCTAGTTATGAAGATTTTCAATCTGGACAAACATATAAACTAGCACAGTTTTAAAGGCTAAGAAATGGACAAAAATTTTCGAAGATTAATACAAAGTTAATTTGTGGGAAAAAAAATTAAATTTTACTATTTAATTTTTTTTTTTTTTTTTAAGATGCAATTGTCCTCAAGGCACTCGTGTTCTTATGGATAATGGTGCCTGTTTATCGCAATCAAGTGATAAGCCACCATTCGTATGTCTTTCAACCACTGATGTAAAAGCCAATTGGAATCCATGGATACATACATTGCAAATTCGAAGTAAAAAGGTTTGGTAAAATCTTTTCATGTTTAAATTTCATTGAAAAACGGTTTAGATAACATTTATTTAATTTTTTTTTTTTTTTTGATTAATTAATTAGGAATTTTCATGTACTTTTTTTTCATAGAGTTGTGATTTTTTTTTTTATAAGATAGCTTTTTCTTATTGATGGCATTAATTGAATCCACAATAAAATTCATAAAAAAAGCAAACCTAGCTAATTTGTAGTGCAACTTTTGTTCTTTATTTAATAACATAAAATTTTATAAAAAATATTTTTTTTAATAAATTTCTAAAAAAAAAAATTTATTAATAGTAAAAAATAACAGAAGAATTTATTGGTATATTATTCACAGATTTACGATGAAATTAAAATGCATACAAATTATGATCGAATATTTTTGGAATTTGGACATATAAAGTATATTATGAAAGGACAAATTCCATCCAATGAGGTCATTTTTGATGAGCGAAATGAAAAGAGCAATAAAGTGGTTATTCGAACTAATGTTAGTCAACAATATTTTTTTTTAAATTTTTTAAACTCAATTTTTTCTCCTTTTAAAAAAAAAAAAAAAAATAAATTTTTCTTTTTGGATACTTTTTACCAAAATGTTTCACTTATTATATTTGTTCATCGATACATTTAAAAATTTAACACATTTGCAGAAAATTTTACAAAGTGGACTATTTTTAACAGCACCCTATTCATTTTATACAAATCAAACCATTGAACCATTAACTCACCAATATGGTTTACGCATTTGTGCATTTAATAATTCTGAAATTCAAAATCCTTTTGCAGTAGATTGGACTCGAGGCACTGGTCAGTCGGTAAGTGTTAAAAGTGTTAGTAATAGTGATGTAAGCATAATGTGATAATCCAATATAAATGCATCATTCTTTTATGGCAATTTTTAAAATTATCTACAGTAAAAGCTATGGGATTACTACTGTAGCGACTTAAACTATGTACAGTAAAAGCTATGGATTACTACTGTAGCGACTTAAACTATGTACAGTAAAAGCTATGGGATTACTACTGTAGCTACTTAAACTATGTAAAGTAATCATTACTTTGGCACAATTTTAGATTCCTTACAGTGACAACTGCACACAGTAGTCACTACGATATTGCCTTAGGCTATTATAGTATCCATTATGAGATTACTATGGTATCATTTTAGACTATGTACAGTAATCGCTATGACGTATATATAATAAGCAAGATGTGATTAATGTTATCACAACATATTTTGTATCATAAAGGAGATGCTGATGTCAGTGTGTGATATCAATATGTCCTTTGTTGTCACAAGGGACATATTTGATATCAGTATTTTATATCATAAAGGTCATAATGATATTAAATGTATATTATGCAAGATCAAAAGCAATGATTAGTCTTTTCTAACTGTTTGAACTACGTACACTTAATTGTCAGAAATACATTTTATTTTAAATTTAAAATTGGCATTGAATTTGAAACTAATTCTTTAGTGATGTAAATATTTGTTTTTTATATTAATTTGCAGTCGTATTAGTTTTTAAGAATTCAATTTTTCTTGCTCTATAGAATTTCATTTTTTTTTTTTTTTTTTTTTTTTTTTTGTAGAAACAATTTTGTTCAATAATATTCAAGAAAAAATTTCAAAGATTTTGAAATTTTTTTTTTGTTTTTGATTTTAAAATCAATTTCAGATATTTCATTTAAATGGAATACAATTTGAACGTGATCTTATGAGAAATATAGTTTCCAATGAACAGAAGCAAATAACAAAAATGGCATTTGTTATTGTACCAATAATTCTGATTGTCTTATTGGTTAGTGATCTAAAATCAGTCAAATACTTTTTTTAGTGAAGTAAGAGTGACAAAAAACTTTTATAGGGTGACAAAAAGACCAGAAGGAAAGTAGATGTAAATGAAAGGGTGATAATGAAGTCTTAAATTTATTTCTTTCTTTTTTTTCAGGTCTTTCTGCTTGCAGCTATCATTTACATGAATTGCGCTCGACTGAAACGTTGCTATGATCGCCGGAAAACTCGACACTTTCGTCCATTTACGTGGAATGGTGACATACCACCAATGATGACAAATGGTACCGTACACGAGAAGCATTCATCAGTTATTACAAAATCAACATTCTGAAATGGATTTCCATAAAAGATCGTTTGACAAATCAAAACATTCCCGGTCCTTTTCACTATCATTTTTTTCTTTTAAATTCTTTCTTTCTTTCATAATTAATTTAAATTATTGAAATTCTCATTCAAATTATTTATTGTTACGTGAAGTGAAGGACAGAAGTTAACAAATAAATTATTCATTTAATCGCTAAATTTTTGCTGCAAATTTGTACAGTTTTGACTAAGTTATTCAATTGTATTTAATTTAATAATTGATAATAAGTTAATCACATATTGAACAGTTATAAAATTTTTAATTTTAAAATTCTCAAACAAATCTAATTTCACAACTATGTATATTACAATTTGACGTTAAACAGTTAATGAACTTAGATTTGTTTTCAGTTTTTTTTTTTTTTTTATTCTTTGATTGTTGTGATAAAAATTTGTTTGCAAATACACTCTTTTCAGGTTGACTTAATAATGTAAGTGAAATATTACTAAACATTTTACTCAGATTGTTATTTTATATAGTGATCAAGAACTTTTGCTTACAAATTATTAAAATTTTGTGCAAATTTGAAATTGCAAATTGATTCTATCTTTATAAAATTGATCTTCTCGTTGTAGTTGAGGCAATCATCCTGAAATCTAAATTTTCAACCAGTAATCATGGAGAATGCTTGCTTCATAAATTTTTCAGCCATTTATGAAGTTAATTTTAATAATAATGTGCTTCTTTTTGATCTAATTCTTTTTCTCAATATCTGTATTTGAAATGAAAATTTTTCAGCATTTAAAAAAGTAATAATAATAAACAAAATGTTTGGAACAAATTTTGAAAATACAGAAAAAAAATCTAGAAAATAATTTAGGTATTATCTATTTAAAGCTTATAAAAAAAATCCATGCGATATTCTTAATCTTGCTTTTACTATTTGCCTATTGTTTCAAAAATTTTATTTAAATTATGAATACGTCCGCAACTTGATTTTATAGATAATATTGTAATTTGTAATTTTTTTGAAAGATTATAGTGAAATGATTTAATTTCAAATGAAAAATTTATTTAATGAAAAAAAAGGAAATAACAACAGATATTGTATGTGTATGTATGAATTTTAAAATTTCATGAAAACAAATAAAATGTATTTTTTTTTTTTTATTACCTTGCACACAGGCAATTCATATATGTTGTTTACAAGAATTAGTAATAAAAATCAAAAAATGATCACAAAAAATTCGGTAAAACAAAGATGAACTTTAAGTATCATACGTAACAAAAGTCTTACGTACGTGACATTAGAAGAGTCTAAAGGTAATAATATAATATTCAAAAAACATTTTCATCAAAACTTTCACTCATCAATAAGAAAGTAAAAGTTTTTACTTATTTTATAGTTTGAAATAGTTGAAAAGCTATTTAAATAACATTGTAATAAAATAGCAAGTAGAAAAAAAGTTTGAATAAAATATTTTAGAAAATTGCTGCAATAGAAAATTGAAAAAAAATAAAACTAATATGAAACAATAATAAATTAACAAATAATTTCATTACTGATAAGCAAATTTTTGGATATTTGCATAGAATTACATGTAGCAAAAAAGCTATGTTAATTAATTTAAAATATTGAAACGATTAATTAAACGAAATGCGGTGAATGTGATTTAAAGTTTTTTTCAAAGAAATTTAATTATTATAATTGCAGTATGTAATGCATGCTAAACTATTGTTTTTGCAAGACAATATGACGTCGTCGCCTTAGGCAACAATTATTATTTTGCGAGCAAGGCGTATAACCGATTGCGCAAGAACATCCATCAGATTGCTGTTGCATGCAATCATTTAATGGTTTCAGTTGTTGATATTGACCGGATGTTTGCTGTTCGATGCATGATTTCATGCATGTTGGCTGACATTGCGGTACGCAACGGAATGGTTCCGTAGCCTGTAATCAATAATTAAATATATAAATTTAGCATACGGTGGTTGGTTGATGTTTCCGGTCGAAATACTTTATAATAATGAAAAAAAATTAATGAATAAATGAATATAAATTGTAGAAATTGGAATATTCTATAGAAGAATTCATATACCTTACAATCCAAACCGCATCCTTGTATTTTATATTCCGGTGAATGCTGCTTAATTGAAGATACCGCTTGCGGAATTTGTTCTATGCAGGAATGTTCACAATTTGCGCTACATTCTTGCACACAGCGTGCATTATTTTTGCACGATGATTGACATGATGGTAAGCAAGTTTTGGAGCAAATTTGTTGTTGTTGTTCTAAACATTGTTGATTGCAGGCCGGTTGACATATTTGTGGGCAATGCGGATGGAATTTATGTGTTTGCAGCTGTATCTGTTGCTGTTTTTGTAAACAATCTGGCAAACAATCTGGCATACATGATGATAAGCATACGCTGGCAGGTGATGTTTCCGGTTGATGTGCTTCGGTTGTTACCACAAGTGGTTTCTGTTGTTGTGTACATTGAGGGTCACACATCGGTTGACAAGCTAATACGCAAGCTTTCTCTACACATGTCGGTTGACATTCCGGTTGACATTGTGCTACACATTGTTGTTGTTGTTGATGCTTTGTGACAAGGAAAACTTTCTTCTGTTGCTGCTCTATGCATTCTGGTAAACAAGCAGGTTTGCATGCTGCAACACAAACTTGCTGTATACATTCTTGCAAACATTGAGGCATACATTGTGGTACACAATGAGTTTGAGGAAGCGGTGGTGGTCGTAGTATTTGTGTCGATGATTTAATCGATTCAGATTGAGGATGAAAGAGTTGTGGTTGTAGTTGTGATGACATCTGAGATGGTTGTGACTGTTGCTGCGCAAGGAGTATTACTTGATTGCGTACTTTCTGCATGCACTGTGACTCGCACATGGGTTGACAAGCAGGTGGACAAGCTTGTTGAATGCATTGCGGTTCACAGGATGGCATGCAAATTGTCACGCAACGTGGTTGTTGAATTTGTACTGAAAATGGCGATTGTTGATTGTGTGAAATAGCAGTAGACTGACTGCATGATGGCATGTTTTGACACATTTTGCAGCAATTTCGATTGCTACACTGAGTTGGACAATTTGATTCACAGTTAGATGATGGGCAAGGTTGTGTTGGGAAGGGTAAAGCAGATTGACCTTGCGAAGGTATCACACCAAATGGTAGCTGTTTTTTGGTTTGTAGATTATAGGAAAATTCAGGTGGCATTGCAAAAATTGATGGTTGAGATTGTGATTGCATAATGACAGGTTGCAAATAAGTTTGCATCTGATTTGATTCGAACATTTTCACACATTGCGGCTCACATAATGGCATGCAAAATGCAATGCACTGCAATAAGTTCAAATATGAATTATTATAAAAAAAAAAAAGAACAAAAAAGAATCACTGAACATCTTTTCTGTCATATTATTATTCTCTGTTTTAATTTAATAAAAAAAAAAAATATTATTAAAGATTTGAAATTTATCCTAACAAATTATTCGATATCTTTTTTAGCATTACCTCAATTTGGTGTTGTTGTTGTGGTGGTTGCTGATATTGGGTATTAAAGATGACTTGATTAATCATTTCTCGATTAATACATTCTTGTGAACAATCAGGCATACATGAAGGCATACAATGTATCCTTTGCTGTGGACAGTTGCAAGTTATCTGCAGTTAAATTATTAAGTATTACAATTGTAAAAGATTTTAAAAATTTTCATTATCAAAATAAAAAAAAAAATGAAATTATTGAATACAAAAAAAAAAAAAAAAAAAAAAAAAAACAGCTGTTAAATGATTATCAATTATCCAAAATAATTTTAGTGTTGAATCAATGAAGAGCAAAAATTTAATTTAACTTTTTTATTAACTAACTTTTTTTTAATTAAATTAACTAATTTTTGCAAATTCTAGCTTAAGATGTCTTATAAATTACGCTGATTATATTATAGCAATAGAAAAATAACGATTCTAGTAGAATGATAAATAATGATTGTAATGATAAAATGCTGATAATGATAAGAATAAAACTGAACTGAATTATAAGCACAATTCTCTTCCTAAAGCATAAATTTCATTTGTTTAATGAAATTAATTAATAAATAAAATGATAAGAAAAAATTATTTTAATTACATTATAATGAAGTGATCCACAACCACAATTCATATACTGCTCATGCAGTGCAGCACAATTGCAATTTGAGCGTGCAACTGGTGTGCAACCGCATTGATTTACCTGGATATTTGCACAGTCACATGATTTCACCTAGAATTAAAAAATTTTCCTAAAAAAAAAAAAAAAAAAAATTTAGCAAAAGAATATATGAGATTAATTTTGTAATCCTATTTTAAGTTTAGCTCTTTCATTTCCTAAAATTGAAGTTAGAATCATATTTGAGTACTTAATTCCATTAATTCAATTATTTTTTCACTTATAATTAATGTTATTCACTTTTAGATATAAATTATTGAATCGATTTAATGTTTAGGAAACTTAAATTTAAATTTACTATTACAAATAATTATTTACTATAATATAATAAAATAATTGAGTTAAATAAATGAACAAACTTGTGCTAGTAAATTAATACAATTGCATTGTTTTTCATGTTGCACCACAGGTATTATTGGTTGCAACGGATACGGTGTGATCAATGGTACCACTGGTATCGGTTGTTGTTGCTGTTGTTGTTGTTGTTGTTGCAATCCACAGCATGCAGACATTTGCATGCAGCATTGTCGCTTTGCTCTACTAATAAATTTTATCGCATTCTATAAGCATAAATAATCTTAAACAAAATTAACGAAAGGAAATTAAAAAAAAAAAATAAATTAAATTAATTAATATTTAGTAACTACAAAAGTAATTTACAATAGGGTTTACTTTAACATTTTTTTCATTGTAAGATTGTATGAACTTTATTAATTTTTAAAATTTCATCATTACAATCTAAATAAGTTTTATTTTTATAAAATTTCACTTTCAAAAAATTAATTTTAAAAAATGATAAAAAAAAATTGTAAAAAATTAAATTTTCTTTTTTTTTCACTCAATGAATTAAAAAATTTTGTAAATGTAATTAGATTTGAATTTTAAAAAAGTTTTTTCATTTTTTTGAAAAAAAAAAAGAAGGAAAAGAAAATTTATAGCATTTGATTTTGGAATAACTAAAAAATCAATTTGATACATCGTAAAATTTTGCTTAGTTTAAATTTAAAATGTTTTAACATCACTATGATTCAATCGGTCAGTTATGCAATGTTACTTGCTGTGCTATGCAAATATACTTTTCGTTGACTTAATCACGATCTCATTTCAGGTTAAATAAATAAACATTTGCTCATACGTAAATAACAAGTCGCTGAGAAAATAAACCGATAATTTCTTGTATAATTTAAAGAAAAAAAAATTTTCAAAATTTTTTTTTAATTTATTAACTAGAATTTGAGTCATTCATTTGATATTTGAATCATTCATTTACTAATTCATTCATTCATTCATTAGTATGATAAAATAAATTTAAAATTAACTTTACAAAAATATCTTTTTGCATAATTTAAATGATTTTTTGAAATTCATTCATTAGAATTTGAATCAGTTATTTAGTATTTGAATAATTTATTAGTATAATAAAGTAAATTGTTTTGATTTGCCATAAATTTAAAAATTTTTAATATATTTCTCAACTTATTCAATCAAAATTTTGACTCATTCATTTAGTATTATATTTGAATTCATTATTATAATTAAATTTAGTATTCGTATTTCATATTATTCAGATATTTAGTATTTGAATCATTCATTAGTATAATTAAGTAACTATTTTAATCTGTTACAAACTTATTTCCAACCAAATTTTCAATTCAAAATTATCAATTTTAGTATATTCTCCACACTGCACTTTGCCTCTTACATTAATGTAAAAATTCAGAAATGTATTTGTTGAATAAATTTTTAATTAAATTTTTGGTAAATTACAATAAAATTATATCCGAGCTGGTAGCTAATAAAATTTGAATATATATTGCTAATCACATACTTACGTAATCTTACGTACAATAATGATTCCACGTGTAAAAAAAAAAAAAACGTATATCCATAAGTAATTTTTTAACGAAAAGTCATAATTTCAAATGTAAAAATGTATTTTGTGTGAGCTAGAATTAAAAATTATAATTGAAATTGCTAATTATTAAAAGAAATCAAATTAATGCAACAAATAAAGCAAACCGTTTCAGCGGAAATATTCAGGAAACCGAATATGAGATATAATAAACAGTGAGCTGTGAATCCGGAATTCATACCTGATAACTTTTTCCGTGACATAGATTATAAAAAAAAAAAAAAAAAAAACGAGGCTGCATACAATAAACCTTTACTATATTAGATTTAAAAAAAAAAATTCAATTAAATTAAATTAAAATAAAATTAAAAAATTGAATAAAAAAAATGCTTCAATTAAAAAAAGAACTTTTTCGAACTAAAAAAAAATTTAAAAAACAGAAAAAAATGAAATCTTTTTATTATCCGAAATTTAAAAAAAAGAAGCAAAAAAGTGAAAATTTACAAAATTTTTCACTTAATTTAATAAAAAAAACTAACAGATATTCAAAATTAATTCGCCTGAAAATATTTTCAAACTAAAATTATTGCTAAAAATGTGAAATTCAAAACTAAAAAAAAATTTAATCATTATAATCTCTCCGTTTATTTTTTTTTTCTTTGAATAATGAAATAATTTATTTTATAAAAAGTAAAAAAAAAAATGTAAAAAAATTTTAGTAAGAAATTAAAAAAAGAGATTTAAAAAAAATTTTTTTTAAACTTTAAAATTATGTCATTTTACATATTAGCCATATAAAATAATCCATATCTAAAACACGACTAATACCAGGTGATTATTGAAATGGATGAGAGAGAGAGAGAGAGAGGGAGAGAGAGAGAGCTTACAAAATTTAAATTCTCAAATGGACGATTGAATTCGTGTCCATCGTCTAAACTTAAACTTTCAAAATTGTGCTATTACTACTGCAACTCCTACTAGTACTACTTACATTACTAAATGCTAAAATACACTGTCTAAACGGGTATTTGAATTATTTCTATTGGAGAAGACAATTTGATTTGACTTAATTCTTGTATTTATACAAATAAACAAATTAAAATTGTTGTATTTAACATTAAATCAGAAATATTTAGATCGTATTATTGCTTTAATTTAGAAAAATTTTTAAAAACAATAATTAAAATAATTTATAAATGATGAAAAAAACAATTTTTTTTTTTTTTCATTGATTGATAAAAATATATATATATAAATTACATTTTATATAATTTTATGAATCGAAAAATTTTCTAAATGAATATTTAGCACTTACTAATTTTTTGTTTTTTAAATAAAAAGTTAGAAAAATCTACAAATTTTTTTTAACTTTTACTTTTAAATTTATAGTTTTAAGTATTTTTAAAAAAAAATTTTTTTTGAAATATTCACAAAAATGTATTTTTTGAAGTCGTAATTTTATTTTTTTGATTTACTTTTTGATGCAAAAAAAAAAAAAAAAAATGAAAAAAAAATAGCAAAAAACGAATATTTATTTCTTTGAAATTTTTATGCAAAAATGAGTAATGTTTAACTGAGCGTATCAAACATATAAAGAAAGTATAGCAGAAATACTATCATTCTTTATAATTTACAAATTTTAGCAACCTTGAAAAATTTTTGAAATGAATTCTATCACAAAGGACAAAGGACAAAAGATGAAAATTTAGCAATCAAATTGAATTTTAGTTCTTTTTTTGACTTTTATAAAAAAAAAAAAAAATTTATTTTTTTTACGATATACATGAGTAATTTTTATGTGACACATTTCATTTTCAATTTATTTTCAACTGATAATACATTTTTTAATTTTTGACTTTATCACTTTCAAAGATAAATCAAAATTATCACTTATCTTTATTTTATGTATGAATTTTTCATGTACATTTTCTTTTTTCATTATCAGTTGAATCACAATTTACACTGATAACTTTTATATCTATCATTATACCATTATAATGATTGTAAAATTACGTTTTACAATCATTTTAACTTCGGGCAAACATTATTTTACAATCATTTTAACTTCGGGTAATCATTATTTTACAATCATTTCATTTTCATCTAATCAATACTTATTTCAATTTTCAAACTGTTAATTTGATTAAAATACTCTCATCAATAAAGGAATGGAATAAAAATTTGAAAAATGTTGCAAATTTTAGCAATTGCATAATTTTATATGAATTATTTCACATGTAAATAATGCTTAAGCTATAATTGTAAACAAAACTTTCTTTGTTCGATTTGTTTGACAATGTTATTAGCAGGATGACAACATTTTAAAAGTGTCAAATATCCATTAATTTTCTTTCACTAACATTAATTTTGATTATAATCATAAATTTATAAAACATTCAACTTGGAATAGTTAAAAGAAAAAAAAGAAAACGATTAGAAACAAAATGAATTAAAAAAAAATGAAAGCAATTTTTTAAAAAAATCATTTTTTTTTTCTTATTTGCAAAACTTTCATCCATTAAATTTTTTGTTTAACAACAAATAACTTTTCATTGCATTTCCAAAAAAAAAAATGTAAAAGGAAAAAAGCAAAAAATAAATTGGTATAAATATAACATTAACAAGGTAAACATCTATTTGTTTGTTTATTTGTTTGTTTGTTTTTGAAATTGAACACAAAGAATCTAGTTTGATACTTAGCTATATTATTGTTAATGGTTAATTGATTTTGCAATTTGAGAAGAAAAAAGTGCGATCCATTCGTGATGTTATTTTAAATTTTAATCAATTTTAAAATCAATAAAAAATAGTTTTTTTTTTTTTTTTTTTTATTCATGCATTCATAGTAAATAATTGAAAAGAGAAATTGTTAAAAGGAAAAGCTAACAAAGATTAAAATTAATATTTATATAAATATATGTTAAATGCATCAGAAAATTATCAATTTAAATATTTAAAAAAATAAACAATCAATATTTGCTGCATAATTTATTTATTGCACCATTTAAATATGTCATATATGATACAAAAAAAAAAAAAAATTTTTTTAAAACATTAAATATGAGCTGAAAGTAAATTTTTTTTTTTTAACAAATGATAATTTATTATAATAAAGTATGAATTTTATAAATTTAAAAAATTTTTTTTTTTGTAATTTTTTCAAATTTTTAGAATATTTGGGGAGAATTATAAAATTAAATGTTTTAAGATTGTAAAATGTAATTAATAATGCACTATTAAATTGATTATAGTAAATGTGTTTGTTTATTTGATAATATATTCCTATCAAAAAAACTACTGATGGATTATCATTTAATTGATAACAGTTAAATTTGCTTTTTTTTTTTCTTCAAAAATGATTTTTTTGTAAGTAAATTTTTTAGAAATGAAAAAATTACTTAGTTTTAAATAATTTTTTCTTTTTTTTTGGAACATATTAGAATTATTAGTAATATTTTATTCTAATATGAAATAGATAATTAGTGATAAGAATGATGATAACAATTTAATCACTGTTTGACTCTGTTGACCATTTCTTTCAATTTGCATTATTTGCTGAGGTTGTGGCTGCATGGTTGTTAAATTTTGTTTTGGTATTTTATAAGTAATTATTTCAGCACACGCTTGAGGCCACCTGAAATTAATAATTTGTAATACATTTCTTTTACTCAAATTTAAAAAAAAAAATAATAACAACAAGTAAATAAATAACAAAATTAAAAAAATATATATATATAACAACAACAAAGAAAGGAAATATTTTATTAACAAATAAATTAGATTTGATAAAATAATATTTTTGTTTAAATTCACTTCCATTGCTTTGAAATTAACAAAAATATAATTGCATTTTTAAATAATACACAAAAATATAAAAATGTAAAATTTTGAATGAAATTTTATACAATTTTTTTTTAATACAATTTATCTATCAGTAAATTAATTTTGATCGTTGTTAAGGCTTAAATTCTTGCAATTATTAAAAAAGCATAAACAAACCTATTAACAACTGCTGTATCAAGTGATAATTTCCTCATGGATTTAAATGATTTCCTCGTTAATGCAATTATTTTTTCAACTATTTGATAACCACAATTATGCGCAATTAATGGCACATCGCAGTGCAATGAGCAAAGGACATATCTAAGATAAATGAATCATTGATCTAGTAGAAGTCAATCAGTTAATGATAAATGAATCATTGATCTAGTAGAAATCAATAAGTTAAAAGTGAATGAATCATTGACCTATTAGAAATCAATCAGTCAATAATAAATGAATCATTGACCTATTAGAAATCAATAAAAATGAAAGCTAAAAGTGAATGAATCATTGATCTATTAGAAATCAATAAGTTAAAAGTGAATGAATCATTGACCTATTAGAAATCAATCAGTCAATAATAAATGAATCATTGACCTATTAGAAATCAATAAAAATGAAAGCTAAAAGTGAATGAATCATTGATCTATTAGAAATCAATAAGTTAAAAGTGAATGAATCATTGATCTATTAGAAATCAGTCAGTTAAAAGTGAATGAATCACTGACCAGTTAGAAATCAATGACTAATAAATGAATCAATGACTTATTAGAAATAAATAAGCTTGCAGTAAATGAAACACTAACCTATTAGAAATCAATAAAAATGAAAGCTAAAAGTGAATGAATCATTGATCTATTAGAAATCAATGAGTTAATAATAAATGAACCATTGACCTATTAGAAATCAATGTGTTAATAGTAATGGATCATTGACCATTATTGTAATATGTTGTAATAAACATTGTAATAGGTCAATGATTACAAATGAATGAATCAATCATTTCTTTTTATGATAGGCAAGCATATAAATTAAACAAAATTAAGCAATTAAATTTATTACCAAATTAACTGCAATATGATTTATAGCTATGAGCTAAAAAAATGAAGTATATCATTTCGAGTAACAGATCATAAATATTAATCTTATAACTTTATACAAATTCCATTTATTATGTTATTGACAATATTGTAGTAATAAAATTTAAATAATCATTAAAATAACTTAACTAATTTAAGTAATCATTAAAATAACTTACTAATTTAACTAATCATTAAAATAACCTAAGTATTTTAAATAATCATTAAAACAACTTAACTAATTTAAATAATGATTAAAATAACTTAACTAATTTAAATAATGATTAAAATAACTTAACTAATTTAAATAATGATTAAAATAACTTACTCGCATGATTCATTTAGGTAATTTTCGAGAATGGTTATGTCACTATTGAGAATGAAATGTCGAAAATTTCGAGCTATAGAATGAAATGCTTCCTGATATGGTGTACAAGTGCGCATGCAAAGTTGTCTGATCTGTGAATTCAATCCAGCTAAGCATCCAAAATTTTCTTTGATATCTGAATTTAACAAATATTTTTTCCATAATTCATTCTTAAATGAGAAATTTTTTTTTTTTTTTGAAAAAATAAATTATTTAATTCAATGCAGAAGTCAAAATATAACATAACTGTTTCCGGAAGTATTAATTAAATGCTTTTTGAAATATTCGAAATGAAGAGTGGATAATTTTGAATAATATTAGAAAGAACAGCAAAATTTAAATTTGAATTGTTAAACTAACTTTAGTAGTTATAAAGAAAATTTGAGGAGAAGAAAGCAGAAGTTAGCTATAGATTGACTGTTGACGAATGTTAAAATTAAATAATATTTTAAATTTAATTATTTGTACCTTTAAAATTATAAATGCATATTTGATTGATAATTTCGGAATATCCCATCAAAATTTCTCGTGAATAACTGGGAATACATTTTGAACAGCAATGCTCAAATTGATGAAATTCTCTGAAATAAAATATTATCCACAAAAAAAAAAAAAAATAATAATAATTTGAAATACCAGTTAGTGTCACCTTTGATTTGTCACTCCGTTTCATAAACAAATTCACCTCATTTTTTTTTTTTTTGAAGTATTAAGAAGGATTTTTTTTTAATTTGAAAATTTTAATTAATAACCTTTTTATTAAGTTATTTTAGCAGTTATTTTAATCGAATTATTTGATAATTATTATTTATTTCAACAGTTATTTTAATCGAAAATTTTTTTCGACAATTATAATTTATATCATAAATAAGTATCAAAAAAATTTTTTTAATTCTTCAAAAGATAAAATGAAAATTAAAATATAAATTAATAAATGAAATGAATCATTTGTTATTAGCAATAAACATATATTAGTCATTTTCATAGAATTAATATTTCGCTGAAAGAATTATGTTTTCTTTATAAGATTAAGAAAAAATATATATATAATCATACTAAACATCAAAACTTAAATTTAAAATGAAAATTTTTAAAATTAAAAGCACAAAATAAGACTTTAAAAAAATGAAAGAAAAAAAGAAACAAAACAAAGTAATCAGTAGTAATAAATGGAACAGTGTAATAGCAAAATAAACAAAACAAAGTAATTAGTATAATTAAAAATTCTAATTTTATATTTCTTAAAGAATTTAATAATTTCATTTTATATTTCGCAAAAAAAAATTAATTAATTTACAAAAATTAAAACAATTTCACTACTTTTTGATATGTTTACATCATAATTTGCTTGCTCATAATTTATTATTTTTTATTTTTTATTACTAATAATATAATTTATCATTTTATTATTAAATTATTATTGATAATAAAATTTATTATTTCATTATTAATTAATTATTGACAATATAATTTGTTATTTTATTATTAAATTATTATTGACAATATAATTTATTATTTTATTATTATTAAATTAATACAATAAAGAAACAAACTTGCAAAAATGTTGAAGAATGGTAGCATTTGACATTGCAAATAAGAAATTATTAAAATTAAAATTAATTAAATTTGACGTTTCAATCTTTCCAATTCTTTTCATTAAATCATTCATAAATTGTAATGCACAATGACCACAGCATGTCTCCGCTTCATCATTTATATTTAAGCTATAAAAATTTCATACATATATGTATATTTTTAATAAAGTAATAATTTCAAAAATTTTGATAATTTCAATTTTTGATAATTTGATAATTCCATTTTATATTTCTTAAAAAAAATTAACAATTAATAATTAATAACAATTAAAAAAATTAACAATTTTATTTTATATTTCTAAAAAATTTGATAATGTAAATTTTGTATTTCCTAATGATTTGATAATTACATTTTATATTTTGCAAAAATTTGATAATTTCATATTTTCTGAAGATTTGATAATAGCAATTTATAATTCTCAAAAATTTAACTCAAAAAATTTCATTTCATATTTCCTAAAAATTCGGTTTTTTTTTTTTTTTTAATTTCATTTTATACTTTGCAAAAATTTGTTAATTTTATATTTCCCAAAAATTTGATTTCATTTTAAATTAAAAATTTCATTCTTAGCGATAACTTTAACTGTTTTATCTTTACTTCGTTTTTTTGTTATTTAAATGATGTGATAAAAACAATACAAAATGAATAAAATTTATTAAATTTTTTGCGAATTTTTTTTTTTTTTTTTGAAAAACACAAAATTTAAAATATCAAATTTTAATGTAATTAAAGAAAAAAAAAAGTTACCCAGGTGAAGTTGTTAAATTTGTTGTGCTTAATTTTTGACTTACAACATTTTGTTGATAATGCAATAATAGTCTGATAAGATTTGACCATAACATCAACAATTTCATCTTTAACAAAAAATAAATTCCTGGAATATTCTGGTAAAAAAAAAATCAAAAATCAAAAATAATAAAAATAAAAATTTTCTATATCTATATAAAATAAAAATATATATATTAAAAAAGAATAAAGAAAACTTAAAGCTGATAACATTGTCTGATATTGTTGATAAATCAAAAAAAAAAAAAAAAAATTGCTTAGAATTTAAATAAATGGAAAAATTAAAAATGCAATTACTATGTCAAATTTTAATAATGCTTAATTATTCAATTTAGTAATAATATCATTAAAACTATTCCATTTTTTAATTATTTTAATTATTTAATTAATTTGAATTCATATGAAAAAAAAAACCATTTGAATTTAGCATATGAAAATATTTCAAAATTGAATTAAAAATGTAAACTCATATAATTACATTGATGGAAAATTAAAATAATTATTAAAAAGACAAATTTCAGATTATTTTGTTTTTTTGTTTCTTTTTTCATTCATTCTTTTTTTTTTTTCTAATTTAAAGGCTGAAAAAATTTTAAAGTTTTATCATTTATTCCTTTTTATTTTTTTACTACATTTTACTGATATATATAAATTTATACTGTAAATAAATAAAGTAAAATAAAGGAGAAAAGTGAGACAAACTTTAAAAGTAAAATAAACGAATAAGAAATTATGAAAAAGAATAAAAAAAAATTAGTAATATTAAGATGACCGGATGAATGAGTTAAATAATTTTAATTTCGCATCATTTAATTCTGTGCTACTTTCGTACATTTAATTTATTAATTTCTTTCTTTCTTTTTTTTTTTCGTTTTATTAAATTTATATTTTATTAAATGATTAATGTTGTAGGAGGAAAATTTTTGAGTTTTAAAAAATACGAAATTAATTTTTATAATATCAAAAGTAATTTGTATAATATCAAAAATATGAAAAATTAATTTCTATAAAAAAAACGATTGAAAATACGATTAATTATTGTGGACAATGATCAATTTGTTATTGATCAGATAAATAGCCAAACTATAAATTATGTGATAATTATGATCAGTGATAATTGTTAATCAGAATTGATATTAAATGTGATAATTTAGCCTTTTCTAGTCAATATGAAATAGACACAGTTATGAGCTAATAATACTTTAAAATTACATAAACTAAATTATCAAATTATTAGTTATTATCAATTAAAATAATTTAAAAAAAAAAAAAAAAAAAAAAACATCTATCATTCATTCTTTTGACAGTACAATTGCATATTGTTTATCAATTAGGAAAATATCTCAATATCAATGTTTAAATACATTACAATTTCATTCATTTACTAAAATTTTAATGAAATTCACAAATGTCTGCAAAAAAAGCAAATAAACAAATCTACAAAAAAACAAATAAACAAGCAAACAAACAAACAAAAAATTTCACAGAAACAAACTACTAACAAGAAAAATTTCATAAAATCAGGATTAAACTAATATCAAAAAATTTTAATTACAAATAGGAAAAAAAAATCATTTTTATTAATTAATTATAAAATGTAATGAAAAAAAAAAAAAAAAAAAAAAAAATCCTATAAACATGGATTATCTAAATAATATAATCAATTTATATTCATTTATTTGTACATATAACAACCATACCACTCATTTTACATTTAAAATAAATGCGAAATATTTCGTTATTAGTTAAAACTGGTTTAAATTATCCATTGTTGTTCATCATTGAAATAGCTACTTGCTATTTCAATCAAAAATTGTAAAGCAGAAGAACAATATGTGTCCATCATCTTATGCAAATCCAGTTTTTACTTCCAAACATATAAGTGATATTTTAATCTTTGTTAACAATCTAATATCACTTCTTAAAATTCAATTAAAACTGGAAAAATTTTATTTCCGAACATAGTCAAACCCATCTGCATAAATTCTAGTGAAATGTAAATGGAACCAATCGTTATATTTGATAAAATATAAAGCTTAATATTTATAATGAATTAAAATTTAATTTTTGAATAATTTTGAAAATATTTCAATATTCAATAATTGAAAATTTTTTGGCAAATTAAACACAAATATTTAATGCATATTTGAAATTTCTGGTGAAATGTGATGATCAAACCAGTTATATAACCATTACAATCAATTTGTGACGAGAGATGATGTACATCTATCAGTTTACCAGCTCATCTGTTCAATGTTCGCAAGTTGACAAATATGAAATTTATTGCTAACAAATTTATTAAAATGAAACAAATCACAACAATGCTTTGACATATTCAAATATTCGTCTTACTAATGACTAATGAGCCATATTTGCCTAAAACTGGATATTTCTAAAACAATCTACTACTTATCCGAATTAAAAGGTGGTATCAATGGTCCAACAAAAAAAAAAAAAAAAAAAGAATGAATTAATGTGTTGGTGATTGAATCTTATCATCTTCAATAATTCCATCACCTCCTACTTCATTTGTCACAGGCACAGAGATGCCATACCTGAATAAGTACATAATAAAAATATTTAGAATAAATGAATGGATTATTGAAAATATTTTTTAATATCATATCATTTCTCAAATCATACTGTTGTATCAGTACAGTACTTTTCAAAATGTTCCAAAATGTTAAATTATACTTTCGTGGAATTGATTACATTATATTATGTTATATGTAAAAATGAGATTTCATAAAAAAATCACTTGAAATTTAATAATAATAATAATTATACCTGCTTAATTGTGATGGAGTAGCTTCAACAGGACATTTAGTCATGAGATCGTTCCCTTCCTTACTTTTCGGAAAAGCAATCACATCTCGAATTGGTACACTTGAATCTCCTCGTCCAAACAATAAAGCTACATATCGATCAAGACCAATTGCAAAACCACCATGAGGTGGAGCACCATACGATAATGCCTTTATCATATGTTCCTGAATATAAATATTAAAATTTATATTAAGAGCGGCTATAATAAACAATAAATCTAAACAACAGAAATTGGTTGGATAGAGCTTGTCGTATTTGTAAAACTGAACAAACACAGATAGATACATATAAAGTAAACTCACAAATAAATACAGTTTGACATATAAAATCATCCTTACTTGGCCCGCTATAAAATGAAAAAAAAAAAAAAAATGGTTCTTCGTAAAACATACCATTTCTTCTAATGATTCGCCATATATTGTAGAAAGTACATGTCGCTGAACATCCGCATTATGAATTCGAATTGAACCACCACCAAGTTCAACACCATTTAACACCAAATCATAATGCTGACCTATAACACTAGCTCCACAATTCATCAGATCAAAAAAAAAAAAAAACCAAAAAACTATAATTCTAAATTCCTTTTGTAACAGATAAAATGTAATAGAGCATGCTTTCATTGTGACATTTTGACAAGAAATTCTTTGTTAAATTTATATTCAATCATTGAAAAAAAAAAAAAAAAAAGAAAAGAAAGAAACCGGTAATCGACAGAAGTTTGTTTGGTTCGTAAAGCAGTGGTACATCATCAGGTATAGGAGCAGTAAAAGGATGATGAGCACTTTCTAGACGTCCTTCTGCGTTACGTGAAAACAACGGAAAATGTGTTATCCAAACAAATTCCATACGCTGCTCGGCTCGTAAATGCATCGCTTCACCTACCAAGTGACGCAACTGACCAAGTGTCCGTTTTACACAGGTATCATCACCCCACATAAACAAAACCATTTAGTTCTACGTTTTTTCTTTTTTTTTTTTTTAAAGAATTTAATCATAACGTCAAGTATTTTACTAGTATCGAATATACTGCTAGCTTTAGTAGTTATGCAATTTTTACTACACCATTAGTGCTTTGTCTATTCAGTACTTACAATAAAATTACTCAATATAAAATTATAAAATTACTTAATAACACTGAAATTAATTGTAGAGTAAATAAATCACATTGTTCTTTTATCTTCCAACTATCGTTGTGCAATGACAGCTTAAAGAGCAAAAAATTACTATAAATAATAGAAAAAAAAAAAAAAAAAAAAACTCACGATATGACAGCACTATCTTTTTCGTTGATGCCAAATTTTTCTATCAGAATGTTATTTCGAATTTCCACAAACCAATTCTTTTCAGACATCTTCAGAAATTTAAAATTCTGAAATACATTAATTACAAAGACAAGAAAAAAAAAAAGAAAAAAAAAAAGAAATTGGTAGTAATAATTTACGATATGATAATAACGACTTCATCTCCGATTCAAAATTTTTTCTACCAGAACATCAAAAAAGCTATTGAAACAAATTTAAACGAATGGTAAAATTAAAAAGTTACAAAATGAAAAAAATTCAAATAAAATCTACTTGACAAACTATAGTAGTCATATTGCACTGGAAAACAATAAAAACAATAACACTACAAACCTTTGATAACATATTATCTTGCAAAATTCGACTCCATTCATCTAAATTTTTCTCATTTACAACATCATCTGCATTTCTGGCAATAAAAATTTTCACAACAAAATTTGGAATTTCACGTTTTCGTAGGAATGAAAGCTCGGAAGTGCAATCTTCGATAGTCCATGGAATACGCAAATCTGGTTTATCTGTCCCAAATAAACGTTCTGCCTTCAAATATTTCATCCGCTTAAATGGTGCTGAAGGTTTCAAGTCATCCTGAAATTTCGATGATAATGTAATAATGCAAATATTTTTATTTTAAAATTTTATTTTCAAATGCAACAATAGATGTTCTAATCATTTGAACAAATTAGGGAAATGATAACTAATGATAAACACATACCAATTCTTTAGGCCATGATTCAACAATAATATTCTCTATTAATTTCATAACATTATCTTGATCAGTGAAAGATAATTCGATATCAACTTGTGTGAATTCAGGTTGTCGATCTGACTTTGCACCTTCATCACGATAACACCGAGCAATCTACAAAAAAAAAAATTCCAATTAAATTAGTATAGTTATAAACTTCAAACTGCAGTAAATTCTCCATTAAAACAATTTTTGCAAGTTCCTTTCTAAGTCATTCTTTTTTTCAAATTTGTTGCAAATTAAATTAATACAAAATCCGTTGATTCCTAGGTTCTTCTATTCAACAATATATTGTATTGATTATTGCATACATAACTTTTAAAATAATGGCTACATTATGCATGAAATTTAATTATGAACTGTTTTATTCCATTTACCTGAAAATACCTATCAATACCACCACACATTAACAATTGTTTGAACTGCTGAGGGCTTTGAGGTAAAGAATAAAATTTCCTAAGATTCGGTTTTGGTGCAGGAACAATGAATTCATGTGAACCACCGGGAGTTCGTCGAAACAGAGTTGGTGTTTCCACCTGCAATTGAAACCATATTTATTTTCCAGGAACAACTCATCAGATTAAACCAAGATGTTAATTTTAGGAAAAAACTTTCACGGGAATCTATTCACTGATTGATGAAAGCAAAATTTAATATTTTTTTCAACAAGTTTTTAGAGTTAAAGAGTTAAAACACAAGCAAACTTTTTTTTTCTTTTTTTTTTTTTTTTTTAGACTGCAGATGTAGAATATCAACTACCTTAAAGATGACACTTTTGTAGAATACTTTACCTATCACTATAAATGAAGAAGTTCGCAGAGTCATCGCTGCAGGTACAAGAAAACTACCCATACTTTGGGACGTACATCACAGAACATGAAACACATGAAGCATGTAGTGAAGCTAAGTAATATTTCTTCTAAAGTTTGCCAGTCTTCATTTAATTTTAATGCAATTTTCATGTGAAAGATATAAAGTACAATAAAATTGTTGGCAACTTGAAAAGATTACCTCAGTAAAATTCGCTTTTTCAACCAAATATTTTCGAATTCCATGAACAACGTTTGCTCTTAACCTTAAAAAAAATTCTTGAAAAGTCAAATTACATATTTGTCTTAAATATGATAAGTTCTTTCAAGAAAAATATGCAGAAAAAAAAAAAAAAAAAACCTAAGTGCTCGCTGCATCCGCTCTGTTCTTAAGTCCAGAAAACGATATCGAAGTTTCGTCTCCTCTGTAGATGTTACTTCATTCAGTGGATAATTTGCTGGTGAAGTATTCAATAATTCTAAATCATCCACTAACACCTGTAAAAGTTTTCATTTCCAATAAAATTTCCTAAAACACCTAACCGTCAAAAATGATATTTTTGTTTTTTTGAATTAATTTGGATAGGAACAAGAACCAAAATATGTAAGGGAAAGGAAGGTATAATTTTAGAAGACTTGTTAATAATTTCAGAAAAAAAAATTGTTTGGAAGCAAAACTTTACTTTACCTCAATATCACCTGTTCGCATATTAGCATTACGATATTGTTCACCTCTATCTGCAACTACTCCTTCAATTTTTAGAACAGATTCGCAGTTGATCATTTTGATTTTTTCGATTAAATCTTTCCTTTTTTCAGGAATTCTAGCTTGAACACAGCCATAGGCATCTCGTAAAACCAGAAAACGATTTAGACGATTGAATTGTAACCATCCATATAAAGTTACCTTTTGGTCTGAACAATAAACAATAATTTTGCGAGTGATATCGAGTTGCTTAAAAATGTAAAATGCTCTTTTGAAATGTAAATTTCAAATAGAATACACTTTAAAATACAGTACGTCTGATAGAACTTTTACAAACAAATAAAATTCTAATCACCGTACATAAAAAAAGAACAAACAAACTTTCATGTCCCACACGTAATTCTCCGCAAGTATGCGTACGAAGTGTAAAGTCATTAACAGACCACCTTCGAGTAGTGAAAAAAGCTCTATCACGCAACAACAGAAATAATTGAAGTCGTAGCATCATTTACCTACCTAGAAAACAAAATTTAAAATGTTGCTTAGTATCAAGATAAAAATAAAAAAGATAAAAAAAAAATTAAAACTAAAGTCCTTCCAGCAATAGAGAATGAAGAAACAGTTCACATGATTTATATTAATTCAGGACAAAAGGCAATGAGTCATAAATGTGCATTGATTGATTTTAATTTTATATAGAACAAGGAAGATTTTGGGAGCAAAAAATAAACACCACTGAAATTGCAGATGTGGTAAAATTTTTATTTTTAAAGCAAAAAAAAAAAATTGCAATATTAATATATTGTTTATTCTTAACACACTCTTGATTCCAAAAGAAATGGGATAAAAAGATTACCCATAACTGCTAAAACAAAACAATATGAAAGAAATTTACTGCCCTGCAAATAATACTATTAATAAAATAAAAGAATAATAACAAAGCTGAATTCATAAAGAATCAAAAATGAAAAATCTAATAACTGTAAACCGAATAAATTAATTCCGGAAGATAAAAAAGAGGAAAAATTGCGTGACAACATTAAAAAAATGACACAAAATCAAACAACAAGAGACACAACTTATCTGCAATATAAAGAAGTTCACAAAATAAATAATAACAATAACAAATCAACCAGAACAACCCGAAAATTTAATTTAAAGTACTCTGCTGTGCAAGGAAAATAATCAAGAATTATGATGATAATGTAGAAAAATTAAAACAGAGTGATCCATTTTAAATTGTTTATAAATGTAATAACAGAACTCATTGCTACGAAATGTCGCCCGTAGTTTTGAATACAATAGACAAATATCAGAGGTATATTATAAAATAACTATTACTATTGTACATCATCAGATTTAGGTTTCACCTGTCCTAATCCAGTAAATCTAGAAAGATAAGAAAGCGGTGGTGTTAGAAGTACATCGTAGCCTACTTCAGCCATACTTCGATAACGAAATTTGTTGAAACTTATTTCATCAATAGAAGCAAGTTGTTCAGTGGCATCATACACATCTACAATTAGAAAGAGTAAAGCTTTACAATAAGAATTTTAAAAATTATAAAACAAATTGACACTTGAAATCTTCTGAAATATATAGAATTGAAAAAAAAAAAAAACTTACCCAACCAATTAGCTTCATATATAGCTTCGAAAATATTATCACCGGTCGAGAAACACGTTAATCCAACAGTAAAATGAATACCCTTTGAAGGATAAATATGTTTAGCAAACACCACATTTAAAAAACGACGAAATGGAACATTTGCAATGTTGAAATCTGTAGGCCAACAACAATTCTAAAATCTTATATATTATTTTATCTAGCTTGGATCAACAATAGTTCTACTTTGTATAATCTCTCGCTTAAGATAAAAAACTGAACCAGTGTTTAATGCCAAAAACCTTACAAGTATTGCCTAACAGTTTGATAGTTTCCTATATTCTTATCAATAATTACCAATAATTTTTGCTATTGATAGTTTCCTATATTCTTATCAATAATTACCAGTAATTTTTGCTATGTTTTGATAAATACAGATACTACCTTATCAGCAAAAAAAAAAAAAAAAACTCACCAAGCAACGATCATCATAAACAGCGATATAATCATACAACCATGGGTTTGTTAAAGATGATTGTTTAAGCAAATTTTCGCTTTTAATATTCTGACCACTATTTACATGATTGTCCGTGTTTTCCTAGAAATTTATTTGTTCATTGTACATTCAATTAAGTAATTAAACTATGACACTGAATATAAAAATTTGATAAACTCAAAAAGTAGTTGATAAACTTCATATCATCTCTATCTACTTGATGAAGATGCAAGCAAAAGTTTTAAACTTTGAAACACAGTAGTAGAAAATTATTCACTAATAATTTGCTGTCAATTTACTTATCATGTATTAGTTAAACAAATTGTTTAGGAAAGACATTCAACTAGGCAAATTAAGGATTTACACGAAACAAAAAATTACCAAATAAAGTATATATAGCTAATTAATCCAACAAATTCCGACCTAGCCAAGAAATTTGCAATTTAACAATAAATGTAACTTACAAGAAATGAACTTCTTCCGAAAGGATGTAATGTCTCATCAAAAATTCCTGCTAATGCGACAAGATCAATATTATTTTCGAATCGTGATATCATTTCCAAATCACTGTTACGTTTTGCACTGCAACAATAAATGATTGCTGGATCCAATGGATGCGCTTCCGTATTGAATATATAGCCACCAGCTAAAAGTAAACAATGTTATATTTTCGCAAAAGTTGCATTTTAAAATTAATAAATTAGAAGCAAAATATAGAAAAGAAGAAAGTTCGTAAGTAACGAAAAATAATACAAAGAATAATCTTTTCAAATACAAAAACTTACCATCGATTATACACTTTCCATTTGGTGTATTAATAATACGTGCTACGGTACCATCAGCATTTATGAAATTATCCGGATCGAAGAGCAAATACAGATATTTTGTAGTTTCCGCAAGAAAAAATGATTCCATTCTATTATTTAAAAATATTATTCAAGAAAATTTATATGTTATTATCAGTAGTATCGTATTTATTAATAATCATTAAGATATTCAATGTATGAGGATAAAACCTGTCTTCAACTGAGTGAAATTCGGCATTAACAACTGTAGCGTAACCACACTTCGTACGACAGCTATATTCAATAGCCTAAAATTAATAAATTATAATTTGACTAATGAAATTTTTATTGCAGTTAAACCAGGAAAAAAAATTAGACGAAGTAAAAAAATATTGTTAGTGCGTTATATATAAATTTAATTTCATTAATTCTCCATTCCGTTATATAGCAAAAACCTCAGCAAATTAAAGTTAGAACTGGACAGAAATTCTCAACTTGTTTTATTGGCAAGAGCCAAGATCATTCGAATTTCATGATTTAATTGAAACAGTTATAATTGAAACACTCAAGCTTAAAAACATTATAATTGACAAAATAGACACTTAAGATCTAGTTCTTAACATTTGAATAAATATTCGAAAATAACTTACATCAACCACTTCAGCAGCAATCTCTAGTAGTAAGGGATCTTTTGTAGCTCGATAAACATAATACAAACTTTCCACAAATTCCGGTCTCAGTGGGTAACCAGCACGCTTTGACACCTATATCTTTCACAATCTTTCGCAAAAAATAACCGTCTGAATTAATAAATGGAAAGAAAACTATTTAGCTGATGTTTTCTATATTTAAATTAAGCGCTACTATTAGTTAATTTGTTAAATGAATTCAAGCAATTACATTCTGAGCTAAACAAAAAAATAAGTGAAAAAAAAAAAAAATCTTCCCTTACCTACTATAATAAAATTCAAAAATAGTAATAGCGTCATTAGCAGAAATAGAAAAAGCAAAGACATACCGCTTCCTGTTTTGGAAGATTGAAAAACTCTGGTGGAAATCCATACTGTCGTATCACTTGACTGTACTGATAAATTATTCGCTGTGCATCATCAACATCTCCAGTCAGTGCCTAAAAAGATATGGTAGTAAATTAAATCTTAATCTTCTGTACAAAAATTTAATAAAAAAATCAAATCACTAACCAATACACCAGGCCAAAATGATTCTAAAGATTGAAATATAGGCATTGATAATTGCCCGCTAGTCATTGAAACCCATACAAACCAATCATCTCTTCGGATATATTTATTAATTGCTTTTACATATGCTGCAACAACTTATGAAATGATTTTTGAATTGAAAGTACTAAAACCTATATATATATATATATATATCCACTGTTAAAAAACTTTTTATTATCACTCAAAGTAAAATTAGCGCTGAATGGATCGAAATTAAAAATGGATCCATAAGATGTATATTACGTAACACATTAATAATTTTACCATAGAAATGAATGAAGCATCTAAATTAACTTACTCTTAAATTGCTTCATTAGTTCAGGACGTTGAAATAATAAAGCAGCTTTTGCGAGATACTCAAAATATGAATCTACACCAGCGCCGATACCAGCATCTGTTGCAGTCCATTCTCCAGTTTCCACATTAATATGATTTCCAACCAAATTTAATGATGAACGCAATTTCCATAGAGAATCTAATGCTTTCACAGCTAATCGTTCATAATGTGGATTACCCAAAAATACGACATTTGTTCAAATTTCATCAAATTTATTAAAGATTTCTCAAACAAAAGAGAAATTTTATTGTAAATCTATTTGTCATGAAATATCTTAGGAAGTTTTAAAAATCGTTCAAATAATTCAGTTCAAGTTAAAACAAGTGAAAGATTATAAATTCTAAATTAAAAAGACTTATGTTATGTCAAAGTAATTATGCAAGTTCTTACAGTGATGCGTGATAATGTCCCAAATTCCAGCAACATTGTGCCAACGCCAGCAGTACACGTTATGGCTGTTTCATTCGGATGAAGGCCATATCTGAAAGATTTCATATATGTTAACAACCTATACAAAACTGGTCCAAAATAAACAAATTTGCATCACATAATTTTTTGAAACAATTACATGTAGCAGATTTTCTACCGAAAGTTAGAATAATTCTAAATCCAATTTCCGTTAAAGAAAAGGTCAAATTGTGATGACCTTTCCATTCTTCCAAACTCCTTATAAAAAGAGAAATAAAGAAAAGAAAAAAGAACCAACTTTAAGTTTATAGTCCCATAAGGCATTCCCGTAGCAGATTTAAAAGCAGGCATCAGCCTTTGGATGAAACGTTCGGCTAATCGCAGTAAAGGTCCCGAACAAGGCCATCCCGGTTCTAATTCCATCCCTTGAATTAAGAAGAACAACAATAAGGTTATTCTTGCAAAGGATTTTACTGTTAAATAAAAGAAAAAAAATTATTAGATGAATATTACTGAATGGAAAAATTTAACCTTTTACTCGTCCAGAAAGCATATGAGCACTTAATAAACCACCGATAACCCGTATGTTCGTTTCAAATACTGACACATTAACATTCATATCAACCTAAATAAGAAAATGAAAGTAAGAGGAAAGAAGCTTGGATAACACCAAACCCTTGAAAGTTTGTTAATTTCTAATAATAAGAATTCTTCTTTTTTAATAAGAAAATAATAAGAAGAATCCTTTCACTTCCAACATATGCAATTACCTCTATTTTAATCATGTCTTCCATCATTACTCACTCATTATTATGGATGAACTAACAAGTGTGATATGTACTTCAAATTATTACATTTAGTCATCAAATAATAATTGAAACTACTCTTAAATTTATAAAATTTAAAAAAAAAAAATTTTTTTAAATATCCAGCACAAAAATGTTAGTCCCTATATATATAAAATAGAGCACCAATAAATGATTAACAAATTAACAAACTTTAACAGTACGTAGAACAATTTCAGCAGCGCGCATGAACTCCGTTTCATTACCCATAATAAGTAGCGTATCCAATGAATCGATCAATGTTAAACTAAAGCTTCCCCATGTATCCATGCCTAAAATAAAACCGTAGTACGTAAAAAATTAGTAAAAATAAATATCGTATCAGTAAGACACAACATTAAATTTCAGGAAGATAAATGTTCAATAAATGTTTAAAACATTTTAAGAAGAACGAAACTGACAAAGAAATAATCCTTCTCATTTCTTTTCCAATTTCAGCAAAAGAATCTACAGTAGAATACTACACCCTAGTGCTCTGTTATCTTACATTTAAATAATCATACCAATATCAAATATTTTCTTTATTGCTTGATCCTTTGGTTCTGCCAAAAATTAAATAAATTATCTACTCTCGAAAAGAATTCACTAAAATAATGAATTAAAATTCATTATATAAGATACGAACATACCGGAACATGAAAGTGGTTTCAATTCATCAAGTGGGTAAGCATGCAAAAGATAGCTGTTGTATGCATGATAAAACATTGCTTTCACCTTGTCACTGTAATGAAACTTTCCATAAAAATTTCACATCAACAATGTAAATTTATTGTATAATGAATGGATGGATTTTTAAGACCAATTTATGTATGTTAAAATTAAATTACACATTAGCAACAAAAATTTAGCATGTAAAAATTATGAGTGAAAACAAAGTTCTCCTTTTTAGAGCTTTAATTTTTTCATAAATTAACTACATGAATGCATTTATATTAACTCTGAAATTTCCTCATGCATATAAGTTTAAAAAATTAATTCATAAAATCACTTAGCAATGAGACATTTTCAGATTTTAAGATTGCAATATTTTATCATAAATGTCTAAAGAAACAAAGAGAATGGCGCTTTCTAAAAAAACAGAATAAATCAACATCTCGAAACTGTCATAATAATGCATTTTTCAACTACTTCTGGTAAAATTTGATGAAATCACTCTTAAAAAATAATTTAAATAAATTTAAAAGAAAAAGAAAATTATGCAATAATTTCTGTTTAAAAATTTACCGATATTTGTTCATTAGATTTCGCGAGAAACTAACACATAAAGCATTGTCGAAGTATAATAGCAAAATGCATAACAGAAATAACTGATAGTATAGTCTCATTGCATGCAGTTTTTGCATGCTGCAAGCATTCCTACAATATCAAATAATGCCAATTTCACTTGCTTCTGTGTTTTGAAAGATTAGTAAAGCTGAAAATAATCAAACAAAGAAAAAAAAAAAAATGAATTATAACAAATTACGAACAATTAAATATTTCCTCTTTTCTTCCTCTCCTCTTCACATAATGATAGTATTGTTAATCTACAGAATACACCAAGCATCACTTGCGTAGACATATCCAAACGTACACGTAGACGTCCATGCACGAACACGTGAGCACGTGCAAACATATTGCCATTATGAAATGACTCATATTTTTACGCGAAAAACGTGGCCCGTGACGTTTGCATTTCATTTGATGGGATTTTACTGATAGCTGAATTTTTAACGAGTGAAATGTTAAAGTTTATTTTTTATTGTAGTTGTATTTAATATCTGATCGGTGTACAAGGCAGGATTTTCCGGTCTAGTTATATTGAACCGGATAGATAAACCAGTTAGCTAACATGCAATTTTATTTTATTCATTTTTAAAATATTTACAAATTCACAAATGTAATAATTAATCTGACAGCATTAGGTATGAGTAAAAGTAAGAGTAAAAAAAAAAAAAAAAAATTAAAATAAAGTATAAGTAAGAGTTATAGCTACATTAAAGTAAAGTAAGAGTAAGAGTTGTAGCTGCTAGAAGAGAAGTAAAATGAATGATTACAACTGTTTGTAGTATATGAAAAGAAAATGAAAAAATTTTTTTTCTATTTTAATAAATTTTAATATACAATTACAAAGTGAAAAGATTTAAATTCCGTCAAAGATAGAAAATCTTAAAATATTTAAAAAAATTAATTTATAATTAATACAATTAATTATAACATATAAATTTTATTGCCATATTTACATATCAAATACATAAAAATAATTCCCATTGATATACCAATAGCTTGTAAAGCAGTTGATCGTATGCTTCGTTTCAAATCCACTTTAATTTGCTCATTTATTGAATCACGAATTTCTGGTATCTATAAATTTCGAGAATTTTATTTGATCAAAAAAAAAAAGAGAAAAAATCACTGATTAATTTTTTGAAATGAATTAAACAAATAAGCGATGAAAATAGTCATCTTTTTTGATGATAAAATTGTTAATTAATTAATTAACAATGATTATAGTTGGTAACGTAGATAAATTGAACAAATATATTAAATTAATAATGATAAGCAATAAATTGAATAAATTTTTGAAAAAAAAAAAGGTAAAATAAAAAAAAAAAAAAAAACATAAGTATAAGTATTGCTTACCAATGTACCAAGGAAAATATACAAATACATTCCGGATGATACGGCGAAGACATAATTTCCATATGATTCATTTGCATCACCAATTAATACACCAACAATAAAACCCACATAGCTAAGCGAATTTGGTAATAAATTTAAACAAAGCGTTCGTTTAAATCCAAGTCCAGATTGAATTAAAATTGCCAATGTTCCTGAAATATTGATTGGTTAATAAAATTTTAAAATAATGTAGTAATTAAATAAAAATTTGCTAGAATAAAAAGTTATCATTTATTGTCTGATAATTATACATTAAATTATTTTAAAGCTTTTTAATTCATTAATAATATCTAGTTATTACATTTTTAAAATAATACAGCAACTAAATATGAAGTTGCTAAAACAAAAGAGTTATCATTTATTGTCTGATAATTATACATTAAATTATTTTAAAGCTTTGAAATTAATTAATTTAGCTTTTTATATTCAATATATTCATCAAATAAAATATATAATATTCTACATTTTATAGAAAAAAAAAAAAAAAAAGTTAGAACTATTCTAACTAATAAATTAAGCTAAATTAAAACTATTCTAACTAATAAATTAAGTTAAATTAAAACTATGCTAACTAATAAATCAAATTAAATTAGAACTATGCTAATTAATAAACTAAATTAAATTAGAACTATGCCAACTAATAAACTAAATTAAATTAGAACTATGCTAACTAATAAATTAAATTAAATTAGAACAATGCTAATTAATAAATTAAATTAATTACCAATTTCTTGTGGTAACTGTTGTGTGATCACAGCAATCCCAACTGATAAACCACGTGCTAATGAATTTGCAAATGCAGCACCATTACTCATACCATCAACAAAATTATTCATTAAATTACCAAATATTATCATCCATGCTACCGTTGCAATATCAAATTCTGATGGATCTAATATTTTCTCTTCGACAATTTCAACATTCACTGATACCTTATCATTTGGATCTTTCTGAACATATACCATTGATAATTTTGATAAATGTTATCAAAAAATTAAGCATATGAATGGATATGAAGTTAGAAAATCAAAGAAAAAAAAAAGAATAAAAATTGAAAAACAAAATTTAAATTAAATTTAAAATTTCCTTCTAAAACTGTACTATCTGGAACTTTGATAATTAGAAAAATAACAAATGTTAAGTTAAAGACTAATTTTAAAACCATTAAAAATTGTGAAAGAAAATTAAATTTAATATTTAAAATTTTTCTCTGAAATTATACCATTGATAATTTCAATAAATGCGATTGAAAAATTAAGCATATGAAGGAATATGGAGTTAAAAAATCAAAAAAAGAAAAAATAAAAGTTGAGAAAAAAAAGTTAAATTTAAATTTAATACTTCTTCCTGAAATTGTACCATTTATAATTTTGATAAATGTGATTAGAAAACTAAAAATGTTAAATATACAAATATGTTTACTATTTTAAAATCTTATTTGTTTCTTTTCCAGAAAATGAAATTTTAAAATTATTCTTATTCATAATTATTGATTAAAAATAGAAGATTACTTTTCCAAAAAATATTCTAACAAATTAAATTTTATCATTTCTAAACCTAATATTACTTTCTTTTTTTCACCAAATAGTGCGATTAAATAATTAATTAATTTTTTTGAAATTGAAAAAATACATTTTTACGATGTGAACTGTGTTCCACTGAAGTCTTATTGTCATCCATTACTGTTAATAAAGTTGTTTGAAGTTTGCATGACATCTGAAAAGTTTAATTTTTTAATTTTTTTTTTAAATTATTATCTCTCAGCAGAAGCGTTCTTTTCTATTCTGTTTCAATTTCAGTTTTTCTTAATTTGATCTTTTTTTTTTTTATAATAAGTTAATTAACTTTTTTCAAACAATAATTAATTAATTAATTATTTTTTCAAATTGAAATAATAAGAAAATACAAAAAACAGATAATTAAACAGCAATATCTATTTCATTCTAATATTAAATAAATTTTTAGTGAAAAAGAAAAATTTTTCATTAATTAGAAAAAATTAAACTAACCTTCCTTGAAAGCATATTACTAACCATTGCTGCTTCAAATTCACTCTATAATAAAGTATTAATTTCTCAAAAATATAATTTACAAAAAATAAATAAATAAATAAAAACAAAAGAAAAAAATTAAACTTATATTGAAATCTATTAGAAACATATAACTGAAAAGTTTTACATGCACATATTTAACCTTTTTTATTTGTTTACATTCTTTTTTTTTTAAAACATAAACAAAGTTTAATTTATCTTTAATGCATTTAATTAATTTAAATAATAAATAAAAAAAAAAGGAAAATTTTTCAACACTTTTTACTATTCTCTCCTTTTGTTTTATTTAATAAAAAATTTTTATTCATTTCAATGTTTTCAACAAAAAAATTTTATACTAATATTTGTTTACATGAATAAACATACCTTTAAGCGATCCTTTTCTAATTCATAAAATTCCAAATCATCATCCTCATCATCATCATTATCGTCATTTTCAGTATTATCATGATTTCCGGATGTAAGTATAATTCGTGGTATTGTAAGATTATCATCCATTGTTATTGAATTATTCATATTTCTCTCTTTTTTAATAATTTTATTTAGTGTTGATTGATGAAATTTTTGTCCTTTTGATCGGATCTTAAAATAATTTTATAAATATTTTGCATTTTTTTTTTATTTTTGTCTTTTCTTTTTGATACTTTTAAAAATTAATAAAATTATTGCAAATTAATCCCTGCATTTATTAAAATTTAATTAGAAAATTGTGGAATAATTAAAAGAATTTCGATTATAATATCAAAATTATTAACAAAATTTATTTATTTAAACTTAATTTTCATTTAATCAATAAAAAGAAAATTCATTAAAGTTGAAAAAATTTTTATGATAATTAAAATATTTGTAATTATAGATTACTAAATTTTGTTGAAAATAAAACAGAGAAAAAGATGAATTGAAATTAATTAAAATATTTAAAATTATAAATTTTACTTTTCGAAAATGCAAAACATATGCAAGAATGCGATCCACTGAAAAAAATGCATATAATGCAATTAATATTATAGAAATTTTTGTTGTATAAAAATTTTGCTCCACAATATTTAAACCAAATGCCTGAAAAGAATTTCAATTTTGAAATTTTGTTTTTTAATTTAATTTTTTTTTTTTTTTATAGTTATTTTTTTTTAACTTTTTAATTTTATTCAGTAATTATTTTCTAATTAAATTTTCTTTTTTAAGTTTTCAAATCATTACTTCCATATTAATTTTTTATATTTTATTTTTTTTTTTTAAATTGTAAAAACTATTGTATTTAGATTAGATAATTCTGATTTTTTTTTTTTAAATTATATTTTAAAAATAAATGAATGAAATTTTACTCCCGGTAAAAGCACATATAATGTTGAACCGGAAAGTGTTCCAATACCAAATGCAATCAAAAATGTCATAAAAATTTCATAAAGTGTTTTATTAAGAAATGGTACAATAATAATACAAATTGGTGGTCCAAATGCTGTAATCGTTACAATAATTAAACCAATACCCCAAGCTGAAATTTATAATTTTATATGAAATTTGAAATATTTCAAATTTTAATTAATTATTTCGTATATTAGAATGCATTCATGAATGATTGATTGCTATTTTCAATTCAATTTTAAATTGATTTTAATCATAATTTTTTATAAGTTACTTTTATTAAATTAAATTTATCACATGAATGATTGATTGATTTTTTTAATTAATTTAAAATTGATTTTAATCATAATTTTTTATAGGTTACTGTTATTAATTTAAATTCACCACATGAATAATTGATTGTTTTTTTTTTTTTTGAATTTAATTTAAAATTGATTTTAATCATATTTTTCTATTTGTTGTTTCTATTAATTTATCATTAATTCAAATTCATCATTATTTAGTCAATGAAATGCTAAGTAAAATTTAAAACAAAGAAAAATAATAATGATTTTAGAATTAAATTTTTTAGCAAGTAAAAAAATTTTTTAAAAATTAACAAACTTTGCCAAATAGTTGGTTTTGGATCAAACATTATATCTGTGTCAGTTTCATTTCCAAAATCCATTAACGACATTTTTTTTTTCGAAAATTTCTAGAAAAAAATTAAAAACAAAAACGAAAGTTATAAGTTAAAATCAATTAATATTGGATTTTTTTTTTTTAATTTTAGATTTTTATAATTTCTTTTTTTTTTAATTTTGCAAAATTTTACTGACCTTTGTATTAAAATTAAACTTTTTTGACATATGTTGAAGAGAAAAAAAAAAAGCAAAATTATTTTTAGAATGAAAAACACGAAATCGAAAATGGAAAAAGGAAAAGATAAGATCTTAACAGAATTTGATCTTTGTCGTTAATTTTATTCTGTTGATTTTTAAAAGAGAGAGAGGGAGAGAGAGAGAGAGGGAGGGAGAGAGAGAGGGAGGGAGAGAGTAAAGAATGAAGAAAAGTTTTTCTTGAGTAGAATGTTTTTGTATTCATAAAACAGTTATAGAATTTAAAAAAAAAATTTTTTTTTTAAGATATTTCTAAAAAATTAAAGTTAGAAAAATCTTTTCATAAAATTCTAAAAATTTAGAATGAAAAAGAAATAAATGAAAAAAAAAAATAAACAAACACTTCTTATAATTTAGTTTTCATAAAATTTCACTTCTACATTTACTAATTAAAAATAATTTAATTACTTCACAATAGAATATAGCAAAGATTATTGATAATTTTAAAATTTGAAAACAACAAAAATCAGAAAAAAAAAAAATGTCAGAAAAATAATTAAAAAATAATTCCTTATATTACTTTTACTATTAAATGAATAAACTTTTTTTTTTTTCAGTATATTTACTAAAAGTAAATAAAATATACAAAAGGTATAGTAAATAAGCTTACCTTGAAAAAAAGTGACAGAATGAGGGACAAAATTTTATGAATTGAGGGAAAAGTACCAGTTTTATAATTTGGTACCGCCCAGAAACTACCACATTAGAAAGTTGTTTTTGTCAAATTTTTTCAAAAAAAAAAAAAAAAAAATTATCAACTTATTTATTTTTTCTTTTTTTTTTTTCTTTATGGAACAAACAAACGAAGTATAATTTATTTTTTATTAAAAAAAAAATTGTTGAATTATTTATTTTATAAAATTCGCATTGTTCAAAAAAAAAAAAAAAAAAACGAAGAAAAAATTTCAATTGTATATGTCATTCAAATAAAATAAATATAGAATTGTTTAAAATTTTGAAATTAAAAATTTAAAATTATCATTTTGTAAGCAAATTATATATAACAAAAAAAAAAAAATAAATAAATAAAAGGCTTTTAACAATTAATTTGAAAAGATGAAAAAAAAGTGATTACATTAGCATAAAAAACTTTTTATTTCATTCAAAATAATAGTTAAAAGTAAAAAATTTAATTTACAAAGGAATAAATTAAAATTTTAAAGAAAAAAGAAATAAATAAGTTGACAATTTTTTTTGAAAAAAAATTTGACAAAAACAAAAAAATAACGATTTTTAATTTCAAAATTTTTTTTGATAATTGCAAAAAAGAAAAAAACGAAGGAGAAAAAAGAAGTTTTGTCTAGAAAATTCCATATATTTTGCAAGAAAAAAGGAGCAAAAAAAAAAAAAAAAAGAAAAATTTGCTAAGAAATTAATATTTTATAGAACAAATTTCTTTAATGTAATATTCAATAAATAGAATTTATTTTAAATTAATTTTAATTTTTAGCTTATTAGTAAAAATTTTTAAAATTTAGTCGCAATATGAAAATCTTATAAGGATAAAATTATAATCAACAATGATATTTCTCGCCATAATTGCATTTAAGCTTCCAAAAAATCCTAAAACCAATCCCAAAAAGTGAAATTAGTGAAAATAAAAAAAAAAAAAAAAAAAAAAAACGACTTTACAATTTTGATTAATCAATAGTTTAATCTATTTAAAACATTTTGTTTTTTTTTTTTTTTTTTAATTTAATTTTTTTTTCTTAATTTTAGTTCAGGAAAATCAGATAGTTTGAGAAAGATGAAGAAAAAAAGGTGCGATCATATCATGAATGATATGATAACGATCACTTTCATAATTTGAAATGAATTTTAAATCAAAATTATCAACTAGTTCAATTAAAAATTTGGTTTATTTATTCATTCAAAATACAATTTACTTTTATTTATTCATTCAAAAAGGTAGTTATGGACAAATATTTATTATCAAAAAAAAAAAAAGAAAAATATATACAAATTAACATTCATGATATTTTAAACTGATAAATTTTGTTAACATAGTAGCAGCAGCACTACTCCAATTCAGTTTATCATACTGATATTTTTTCTGAAATCTGAATTCAATCAAGTATCATCTCACAGATCATTTGTTGTTTATGTAAATGAAGCATCTCTTTTCATTTTATTTCATAAATAATTGCAAGAAAATTTTAGAAAAATTTAAGTAACACTGAGTAACATGAAACAAAGAAATACAAGTGAAAAAGAAAACAAACAATGTAAACAAAATGTTTACAAACTTTCACTGATCACTAATATAAACAAAAATCAGCGTTTGATAATTTTGCAGTGAATTAAACCTTTTTGCCATATTATTGCTAATTTTATCTAACAATTATGCATTATTAATAAACTTAATTAATGATATAGACTTAGGATAATTTTTTTTGAACAATTTTTTTTTTTTAGAAGAACAGTAAACATTTCAAACCAAATTTTAAGTTCTTACTACACTTTGAACTACACATGCAGGCGGAAATACTTCTGAAGAAAGCAGCATGGTTCAAAATATTCTGTGGTTCGACTACTTCGCAAAAGGTATGACAATTCAACTGAAAAAAATTATATTAAATAGATATGAGCAAAGCTATAGGAATGTTGGATTAAAAGAACTTATTCAAAACAGGCTTCAATAAATTTAAAAATTGAAATTTAAAAGGAATGGAAATGGGAGAATGTGAGAGCACTTTAGACCTGAAATACATTTTGAGTATTATTAAGCTGAAAATGCAATATAAATTAAAAAGAAATAACGAAACCAACAATAATTTAATTGATTAGACTTAATTAATTAACTAATTCCTAAAGAACCTTCGATTAATTAATTCCTAAAAAATATCACAAAGACAAAAAAAAAAAAAACTGAGTAAACAATTCAGCGGAAAAAGTGAAAGAATCCATCAAAACATTTAATTCTCATTCTAAACAGTTAGATTAACAAATCATAAATGCACTAATTATCACGCTATCACGCCCAACCCCTACCCTCTAAAAGGACAAATGCGCCCTCCTAGTTTGCTTGCTAAAAGCAAAAATGAAAAGATGAAAAAAGAAATGAATATAGCGAAAATATATATAATTGAATGAAGGGTAGTACTTGATTTGCTATGAAGGAGAAATGAATGCCCAACTTGTAAGGGAGGGAAGTAATACCCAAGTTGTACCCAATATTAAGACTCTCTCTTTGAGATTATCAGAAATGCTCTATACGGGCAGTTTTGCTGAGATAAAAGGATAAATGCGCCCTATCATTTTGCTTGTTGAAAAGAATAAATACTATAAGGAGAAGTGATTGCCCGACTTGCAGGGGACAAGGAGAGATCTCGAAGTACTTTTAATCATTTTATTGTTCATCAAGACAACTGCACCAAGAACTAATATCTATTTTGCATCTCAAGCGGTAATATTAAGCTGTGCGCAGATAGCACTCATTATCACATTCTCGGACTACTCTTTGAGTCTTCTTAGGAATGCTTCAATACGAATGGTACATGCAGTTTTGGTGACATTGAAGGGTAACTGTGACCTATGCTTATTTTCTAGAAGTAAAATGGCGCAATATTAGAGAGAAGACTACTTCATATATTATTAGACAGTCTTCTTGCTGTAATTCTGCTAATCGATGTTGTTTATTTATTCTAATCTTATCATTACTAATACTTTATGTTCTACTCATTCAGTATTATTCGATTCATACCACAGGTATCACACGGTGGTGACAAATATTACCAAGTTTTATATCGAGACAATTACATGTCGGGAATTTTAACTGCCTGTTATTTTCATCGTCGTGAAAGATTGTAATATTTTCTGTGCTATTACACAACTGTATGGATTTAAAACTTCAATTAAAAAAGGTGCTTTACTCATATCTTTTTTTTATAAAAATTAAAATATATATATTTTATGTGCATTAATGATTCATTTCAAGCATGTCCAAATTAGTTCATTCTCTTTTTTTTTTTTTTTTTTTTCAAATTTGAATAAATAATATATTTCCTTTATTCTCACATTTGAAGAGTTTTTTTTTTTTAACTTAAATATTCAGTTTCAGATTTGAGAAACAATATTATTCTGTTGCTAATAAAGAAGAATATGAAACTATTAAAAGTTAGTTCTTTCAGATATTTAAAATTTTTATTAATGCATATTATGTATTTCATAAAATATTCGTTTACCTTGTGATGAAGCTAACCGATAGCAGATTGAACTATAATCAATGCATCAATTAATTGAAAAGAGAAATATATGAGAATAATTAGTATAAAAAGTACACGATTATATGTCGTAGTGCTTTGCTTAATTTTTGGTCACAAAAAAAAATGAAAAATTATTTGATTAATTTTATGCATTTTAACAGTTTTTTTCTGAAAGCTTTTTTTAAAAAAAAAAAAAAAAAAAAAACATTGAAATAGTAATTTCAAGTTGAAGGATAATCGATATTTGTTATCAGGAAGTTACTTCGGCAAAATTTTGTAAAGTTTCACTATCTGAATTAATTGTCCTTACACGAAACAAATTTAATAAATTAAATGATTCATTGTCTACCTTTTCTAGGTTCACATTTTATGAAACATTCAGTCTTGTGATATCCTCGTATCTGATATTAATACAAATTGAACTTTTTAGGAATAGCAGAATTTTTTTTTTCTTTGGATGTCATGTTGCTTTGAATTGCGATTTAAATAATTTGGGCGTGATGTTTGGCCATATCACACTTCAACTTTGATGAATTCAGCATAGGATGTTAATTCAACTGCTTCACTCTTTGCTTCACTTTTAAAGTTTTTGTTAGACTTTTTGTACTTTATAATAGTGTCGTCACCGCTTTATTTATTTATAACTAAAATGTATTGTATTTTCAATTAGTTTATATTGTTTACTTTTTGATTCCTTCATTTCATTTCCATATTTTAAAGTTCATTCTTAAATTTCACATTGTTGATTGCATCTCACTTATGCATTACTTTCTTTTATTTATTTATTCGTTATTTCTTACATAATATAGCGTTGATTCCCATTATATTACTTTTTTTTTTTTTTAAATGCAAAATATGCTTTCAGTAAAACTCCTTATGATCACTAGCATGTAGCAAATTTATGAATTAATGAACTTTTCTAGTTGGTTGCAATTAGAAAAGTTATATGGCGGAAATACTTCTGTTTTTTTTTTTTTTTTTTTTTGTAGACACTGCTAACTTTCGTAATTGGTAATCTTGTATTCCTTTTTTCCTTTTTAACTTGAAACTTGCAGAGAACTCTGTGATGAAGATATTAGCATTCAGTTAAATACGAAGAGAGAGAGAGAGAGAAATATTAGCAAAGTTAACAGGTTTGTTAGAAGGTAAGAACTGTTTCAAATCAGGCTTCAAAAAATTATACTATAACCTGAAAACTGTCTCGGGTTGGGTGGCTATCTCTTGATGGATCAACAAGGAAATGAAGTAACAACAGTGCAGTACTGATACAGATATTCACTTATTGTTCGAACAAAAATAGTTCCATGGACGATTTTAAACGCTGCAAATGTCATCAACTGAGAGTGTTAGTGTTTGTAACACATTGAAAATGATGATGAAATGATTTTATTGGCTCATTCATTCCTTTTTATTTTTTCATTTATTCCTTTTTTCTCATACTTCGCTTCTGTAGCTAACGGCTGATATGGCATGTCCATTGTTTAAGTAGCTAACGGCTGATATGGCATGTCCATTGTTTAAGTAGCTAACGGCTGATATGGCATGTCCATTGTTTAAGTAGCTAACGGCTGATATGGCATGTCCATTGTTTAAGTAGCTAACGGCTGATATGGCATGTCCATTGTTTAAGTAGCTAACGGCTGATATGGCATGTCCATTGTTTAAGTAGCTAACGGCTGATATGGCATGTCCATTGTTTAAGTAGCTAACGGCTGATATGGCATGTCCATTGTTTAAGTAGCTAACGGCTGATATGGCATGTCCATTGTTTAAGTAGCTAACGGCTGATATGGCATGTCCATTGTTTAAGTAGCTAACGGCTGATATGGCATGTCCATTGTTTAAGTAGCTAACGGCTGATATGGCATGTCCATTGTTTAAGTAGCTAACGGCTGATATGGCATGTCCATTGTTTAAGTAGCTAACGGCTGATATGGCATGTCCATTGTTTAAGTAGCTAACGGCTGATATGGCATGTCCATTGTTTAAGTAGCTAACGGCTGATATGGCATGTCCATTGTTTAAGTAGCTAACGGCTGATATGGCATGTCCATTGTTTAAGTAGCTAACGGCTGATATGGCATGTCCATTGTTTAAGTAGCTAACGGCTGATATGGCATGTCCATTGTTTAAGTAGCTAACGGCTGATATGGCATGTCCATTGTTTAAGTAGCTAACGGCTGATATGGCATGTCCATTGTTTAAGTAGCTAACGGCTGATATGGCATGTCCATTGTTTAAGTAGCTAACGGCTGATATGGCATGTCCATTGTTTAAGTAGCTAACGGCTGATATGGCATGTCCATTGTTTAAGTAGCTAACGGCTGATATGGCATGTCCATTGTTTAAGTAGCTAACGGCTGATATGGCATGTCCATTGTTTAAGTAGCTAACGACTTATGTTTTTTTTTTTTGTTATATTTCTAATACTTTGATGATGATAACGATAGAGTAAGAAACATTTTGTATAAAACCAGTAATATATTTCAATGAGACTGATAAATTAACAACCATGATAGAATGAAATTGTTTTAAGTAATATAATTTCTAAATTTACATAGTTCGTTACGGGATGATTTTCAGAGTTCGAAAGAAATACAATGAGTCATTACATATAATTTTATTTCTGTTTACAACAGACAACAGAAATAACAACAGAAATAAAACTACATGTAAATTTTTGTCAGTTATTTTGCTTTTTTCAAGATTTCTAAAGCTGAAAAGTTCATAGATAATCAATTAAATAAGAAGTTATAAAATATTTTCTGTAAAATATTGGAAAATTTCAGATGAAAAATGGATAAAATTTGATTACCGAGACAGTTTAACCATTTACTGAGAAGCTGGGCATGCAGTAACAACAAGGAAACTTTCTTGATATCAGTGATGATTAAATAATATTAGCAAACAATTGAATATAGCCATTTTTCTTTTAATTAGAAGTAAAAACTTGAAAGTGCTCTGCTAACCACCGGTTAGTAGTATTATGAAAAAAAAAATCAGTTATCTATCACTATGATTATGTTTTAGATTGAAATTTCTTCTTTTTTTTGGCTTTTCATAGTTTTAATTCTCTGAGAAGTATCTCATTTATTGTGTGAACTTAAACTCAAAGCTAATTAATAGCTTAAGTAATAATTAACAAATGAATGTCAACTAGCAAACCTTTAGAAAAATGAAAGTATAACTATGCATTTATGTTTCTCGTCACATTGTTAATGGAAATTTGTTTGATTTTCTTTTATTGTTTTGTTTTGTTTTGTTTTTTTTTTTTTTTTTTTTTTCAATCAATAAAGGTGGTGTTCGTGTCACACATAGAACCTGCAACCGCCAGTGTACTGGCTAATGTCGCCCACTGCGAATGTCCAGTAAACTTCATATTGATCGGTTGCGGGTTCTATACTACAAATCATAAAAATGGGTTTCGAGACATGCTTATTTCCGTCCCCTCTTGTGGTAAAAGCGCAAATAATACTCTGTAAAGGGTGATTTTTTACGCTTACGTTTCAGTGTTCGGATAGTATTCCGGTAAGGATAATAATTGATCACGAATACCTGATATGTGTCTCACCTGTGAAATGGTAGCAGGCGTAATTTGGGGGATCCAATCTATTATTTACACTTTCTTATACGTAAGGAATTAGTCATAGGTGATTGCAGTGTGCAAATTACAGATTAATTGATTAATTTTATATTAAAATTCAAGTTACAAATTAATTTTATACTAAAATTCACTTTACAAATTAATCGACTAATTTATATTAAAATTCAAATTACAAATTAATTGATTAATCTTATATTAAAATTCAAGTCACAAATTGATTATTTTTATATTAAAATTCAAGTTACAAGTTAATTGATTAATTTTTTATTAAAATTCAAATTACAAATCAATTGATTAATTTGTTATTAAAGTTCAAGTTGCAAATTAATTGATTAATTTTTATATTAAAATTAATTGATTAATTTGTTATTAAAATTCAAGTTACAAATTGATTAATTTTATATTAAGATATATATAAGTAAAGCATATTACTACTTAAAAAAGATTATGAGTGAACTTCATCCTATTTTTTAAATTAATTTCTATTATTCAGTGAACTACATCTGCTTTCCAAATTAATTTTTATTATTCAACTAATTTTATCTGCTTTTTTTTTAAAGAAAAAAATTAATTTTTATTATTCAATATAAACTTTACCTGTTTTTTTTTTTCTTAATTTATTTCTATTATTCAATTGCTAGCAATGATATAGCACAAATGAATGACAAATAAAAGTGGCTAAAATAATTTATTGATTTTTATAAAGAATTAAATTTTTATAATTAAACTTGGATATTTCTAGTTTTCTTGCTTAATTTCAAGTTAATATATTATTTCAATTTTAGTAATTCATTACAAAATACAAATTTTCTTTTCTTTTTTTTTAATGCAAGCATATTTTTCAAATATTTATTCGTTTATAATAAGAAATATCAATGGTAAGCAAAAAAAAAAATTGAAATTGTACTTGCATCTCAAACTAAATAATTTCTTCCCTCTATTTTTTTTTTAGTAACTTAATAATTGATATTAATGAAATTTGAATCTGAATGCATGTTTTCTAAATTAATTTTCCAGATTTCTTTTTTCTTTTTTTTTATAGATTTTAAAATTTTGCTTATTTCCTGAAATATCATCTTTAGAAATTTAATAATAATAGTGGTAATAAATAATAATAACTCTTATTTATCTGCCTCTCTGATTTATCGATTTTCAAGGAGGAATTAAAATTTGAAATTATTAGTAAACATCGAAATACGAATAGCTTTAGATACATACACATACATACACACATACATATTCACACCTACCTTTGTCATACCTTAACATTTTTGACGTAACCATGGTGTCAATGTCCGTGTCACCTTGTCTCTCATTGCTGGATTCGCCGTTGCTTTCATCTATCTTTCAACTTCCTCCCAGTAATACATTGATTTTTTTTTTTTTAAACTAATTCCTATACATTTTCATCATTTTAAGAATTTTTCAAATATGCCAATTACCGGATGCATACACACACACACACACACATACATACACATACACACACACACACACACACATATACATACAAACATACGTACATACACACAGACAGACACATGCAATCATATAAAACTTTTCGGAATTTCATTGCTTATTGGTATAAAAGGGAAAGGACGTTTCTAAGGTAGAGGAATTTTGATTCAATGGAAATGTATTGATTTTTTTTTTGTGCGCAAAAGGAAATGAGGAAATTTCAGCAGGATAGATTTATCAGGAATGTAACCTATCAGTTATCCTGTTGGTAGCTTTATCAGGAATGTATCCTATCAGTTATCTTGTTGGTAGCTTTATCAGGAATGTAACCTATCCTGTTGGTAGCTTTATCAGGAATGCATCCTATCAGTTATCATGTTAACAGCTTTATCAGGAATGCATCCTATCAGTTATCTTGTTGGTAGCTTTATCAGGAATGTAACCTATCCTGTTGGTAGCTTTATCAGGAATGCATCCTATCAGTTATCATGTTAACAGCTTTATCAGGAATGCATCCTATCAGTTATCTTGTTGGTAGCTTTATCAGGAATGTAACCTATCCTGTTGGTAGCTTTATCAGGAATGCATCCTATCAGTTATCATGTTAACAGCTTTATCAGGAATGCATCCTATCAGTTATCTTGTTGGTAGCTTTATCAGGAATGTAACCTATCAGTTATCCTGTTGGTAGCTTTATCAGGAATGTATCCTATCAGTTATCTTGTTGGTAGCTTTATCAGGAATGTAACCTATCAGTCACCTTGTTAACAGCTTTATCAGGAATGTAACCTATCAGTTATCTTGTTGGTAGCTTTATCAGGAATGTAACCTATCAGTTACCTTGTTAACAGCTTTATCAGGAATGTATCCTATCAGTTATCTTGTTGGTAGCTTTATCAGGAATGTAACCTATCAGTTACCTTGTTAACAGCTTTATCAGGAATGTAACCTATCAGTTATCTTGTTGGTAGCTTTATCAGGAATGTAACCTATCAGTTACCTTGTTAACAGCTTTATCAGGAATGTATCCTATCAGTTATCTTGTTGGTAGCTTTATCAGGAATGTAACCTATCAGTTACCTTGTTAACAGCTTTATCAGGAATGTATCCTATCAGTTATCTTGTTGGTAGCTTTATCAGGAATGCATCCTATCAGTTATCATGTTAACAGCTTTATCAGGAATGTAACCTATCAGTTATCTTGTTGGTAGCTTTATCAGGAATGTAACCTATCAGTCACCTTGTTAACAGCTTTATCAGGAATGTAACCTATCAGTTATCTTGTTGGTAGCTTTATCAGGAATGTAACCTATCAGTTACCTTGTTAACAGCTTTATCAGGAATGTATCCTATCAGTTATCTTGTTGGTAGCTTTATCAGGAATGTAACCTATCAGTTACCTTGTTAACAGCTTTATCAGGAATGTAACCTATCAGTTATCTTGTTAACAGCTTTATCAGAAATTTAATCGAAAGCACATTTCATTATGCTTCCGCATTGAGTGTTTCTTTAAATTTTTGCTATAAAACATTTTATTTGTTATTGCTATTATTTCATATGCTTTTTTAGCATCATTTTAAATGAATTCCATCATTATTTTCGAAAAAAAAGAGAAAAAAACATTATCAATTACAAAATAATATTATTTGAAAATATTTATCAGTAAGAATATAACAATTTTTTATTCCAACACAATCCTTTGTTATTCATCTAAATATTTCTCATTAATTAGTAAATAAGATTAGCAATCATTTTCATAAATCATTTCATCTAGTACTAAATACATTCATATCTTCCATTTAAAAAAAAAATAATAATGAAGGGAAAAAATTTATCATTTAAAAAAAAAAAAAATAACAAAGGAAAATTTAAACATATTTTTATTTTGAAAATAAGATATTTATAAGACTTATTAGTGATCTAATTTTTTTTTGAACAATAATCTTTATCACATTTTTGAGTTATTACTAAAAATTAAACAAATTTTTTAAAAAAAATAGTATTAAAAATTAGGAAAAAAAACTTAGCCTGTTCTTTTTTTCTTTTTTTTTTTGATAAGATAAAGAAGCATTTTCTTTTTTTTTTTCATTTTTCTTTTTCTAAAGGTCACAATATTGCATAATAATTGTCATATGAAAAGCGATATGAAAAATAAAATGAAATTTTTTTATGAAAATTATAAATGGTTATTAAATATATACATTTATTATGCTTCGCAACAGGTATTCCAGGTAAGAGATTATCTCAAATGAATGAAATATACATTATGCATAGAAATATATTTGTATCGATTAATATATATATCGATTAAAATATATATAGATCAAATTTTAATATATTATCAATTTTCTCTCATAAAAAATAAATCTATTATTTGTGAATTTCAAATAGCAATCAATAATTGAATTTTCTATTAAATTATTTGTATGAAATTACAAAAATGTTTTTCATTTGCAATGAAAGGTGACAATTTTGGCATAATTGAAATTATTGATCATTTGATCTTAGATTTTCAATACCATTGTAGCAAAACAATCTATGGTCCAATGATGTGATTTATAATTGTAAAATTTATTGTTGACAGTTTGAGGGATGTAACTGTTTAACTTGACATAAATACTTTTTATTCAAACTATATCTTTTTTTTTTTTTTAAAAAAAAAAGTTATATTAATCAAATTTGTCATTTTCCTTTTTTAGTTCTTCGATCTTTTCAGGTTTCTTTTTTTTTATCAAGTTTTATTTCTTTAAGATAAGAAATGAGTCATTTTTTATTTAAATACTGCATCGTAAACAATATTATTATTGTTACTATCTTGCTTTTTTTCTTTTTTTTTTTTTAAAAAAATCTATTTTTATAACAATTTGTAAGACAAATTTGAATTTCATTAACATTTAAAAAAAAAAAAAAGTAAGTAAAGAAAGAAAGTAAACATTGGAAGTTATCATTGTATAAGTGTGTGTATAAATCACAAACGTTATGAGAGAAAATTCAAAAATTTTATTTTAATCATCACCGTCAACTATTTTTGAATTTTATTATTTTGAAAAAAGTAGATGATGACTCATGATGACTCACTCATTCGTGATATTATTTCAATTTCCTTTCTTCTCTGTTCAACGATATTTAGGGGAAATTTCTAAATTTTATATGCAGTGCTCAGCTATTTCAATTTTATTATTTTGACCATCACTGTCAACTATTTTTGAATTTTATTATTTTGAAAAAAGTAGATGATGACTCATGATGACTCACTCATTCGTGATATTATTTCAATTTTCTTTCTTCTCTGTTCAACGATATTTATATAATTTTATTCATTGTTGTCCATCCATCATTTATCAAAATTTTTAACATTTCATTTCATTAAACAAAAGTAATTTTGCTGACTCATTTCACATCTTATTTCAAATATTCCATCAATCTAATCGAATATTTTATTTTAGTACTTTTACTTTTTTTAAATTCTCACATTTATAATCTAATCATTTGACAAAAAATGCTTCTCAAACTTGTCTTTCTTTTCTAATAATTTAAAAATTTATAATGTCACTTTCATGAAAGTGTTTTGTTCTAGAATATAAACCAGTTTGTCAACACATATTGACAAATAATCATTCAAATTTTAATATAATTATTTATTTTTCGCCATCTTTGATTAATAAATTTTAAAATAAATAAATTTTTCATTTATATTTTCACATCCTATTTCAGGTTTTCAACTATCATATTTTATCAAAGATGAAATTTTAAATGACATAATGTAATAAACTACAACATTAAATATTTTCTTTTTATTTAAAAAATTTGAAAAAATTTGTTTAAAACAAAAAAAAAAAAAGAAAGTTGTATAAAGTTGTATTTTCAAAAACAATTTTCATTAAAGGAATTTAATTGTATTTGTAAAAATTTTATAGTGCTATCAAATTTCTCGATGACATTTTCATCGATTGATAGGACAAATGTACAAAATTTGAAAAGTGAATAAAATGAAAGGATAAGTAAGAAAGGTGAAAACTCTTTGGCTATGATTTAAATTTAGGTCATTTCATTTTGACCATTATTGAGGCCATTCCTTTCTCATTTTATCATCCATCCTTTGTCCCCAATCATCCTTTCATCTTTTGTATTCATTTTTGCCATTGAATAATTATTGACTAACAATGCAAATTTCACTATGAATTATGTGAAAGAGAATTTTTATTGATTAATTTTTGATGACAATAATCGCATAAAAATTTTAATTAATTTCTCTTTTTTTTTTTTCAACTTTAATACTTTTTATTTTTTACGTTTTTTTCTTAGCCCATAAATGTTTTTTTTAATAATTATTAAATATTAATTTTGTTTTTGTTTTCTTTTTTGTTTATTTGATTAAATCCTATTGAGATTACTCTCTTCTTTTTTCTTTATTATTATTTTTTTTTTTTTTTTAAATATTAAATATTCATTTAAATTATCTATCTATCTATATATATTGAGGACCCTAATGATAATAAATTATTAAAATTTTCTCAATTGATTTTTGATTAAATCGATTTTTTGACATTTTGTTGATTTATAAAATTAGTATAAATTGCAGCAGTTCAATTGTTACACTCTATGAATAATCTTTTATAGTGTCGAAGAAAGTTTTTTTTTTTCTTTTTTGTCAAAATTTCATGAAATTTCATATTTCGTAGAAATTTTTAATGAAAATTCAATTAGTTTTTAGTTGATCAGTATTGATTAGTTATTATTCAATAATATCTGTCTAATTTAATGGATCATATGAAGAAGAACTAGCTTAATTTTATGTAAATTATTGAAATTATTAATAATATTACTTTGCAGTATTTAATTTATGATCGATCCTTTTCTGAATGTAATCCTTTTTTTTTTTTTTTTTCTGATTTGGAGTTTTCTTTTTTCTTTTGCAGAAATTTCTCCAAAATTTGAATATTTTCTAAAATGTGTCACTTATATTTTATTGATGAATTTTTCAAATTTAAATTACAATTGAATATTAGATTAAATCAGAATTTCTTGACCGAATATGATGAAGGAATTTTGAAATTAGATAATCGCTGCTCAGTGGGATATTTTATTGGTTTTATGTTAGTAATTGACCTATTTATCACTATCATATTTTGATCTCACTAACTGATATG